TGATGCCAGCGGTCATCATCTACGCGAATTCCAGGGGTGCGCAGGTAACGTGAGTGACGCGCCACTGCTTCTGCTTCTGTTTCGTGAGGGATTACGAGCACGAGTCCTTCTTCTTCTCCAGGTTCTGCTTCGTTGTTCTGTTCCTCTGCTTACGCATCTGCTGCCGTCTCCCCTTTTGCAGGTGCCGTTGTGAGGTAGAGCGCAAGAAATTTTCTGTCAAGAATGATGTTGAGCGGAGTTCTTGTGCCTTCGATGAGGTGAGCGAATGGGTCTGGGCGAGAGATTGGTCCGAGCGAGTCGCGGGGAGGAGTAGGTGGCTCGTTCCCCTCCTAAATCTCCATCCAGGAGCTTGTCCAACGATAAGGTGAGCGAGGGGTGATGGCAGGTTGCGAGGTGGTCGTCCGAGGGGATTGTGCATTGCACGGGGATACCTCGGCGACCATGTCTTTCTCTGCTGCTTCCAGTTGTTCTTGAGTGAGTTCTCCTTCGGAGAGTTCCCATCGTTCCGGTGAGCCCCATGCGCCAGTTCCCCAACCTTGCGTAGTGCCGAACGTGCTAGTTGCGGATCCCTTAGTTGCTTCAGCTGTTCCTCCAGTGTCGTCGTTGTCTCCCCAAGCACCACGTCGTGCTGACTCTTCGTCCCATCCGGCCGCGATGCGCTCCTCGTACAGCTTTGCTTTCTTCTCTGCCCTTTTCTTCTCTTCCTCCTCATGAACACTCAGCACCTCAGGTTCGTCTGGGTCTTTCCACTTCTTGTCGATAATGTTGTGATAGACGTCGCGGGTGTACGGGCGCGGGCGATCCTCCTCATCAAGGGTTCCGGTATTGGCTTCGAGGACGAAATGTAGTATGTCAGCTCGTGGGGTAGAATGCTCTTCCGGCATGATTTTTAATTCGTCATTTCCTGTTCCGAAGATGCGGTGGGTTGTGATGGTCAGCTCCATTTCCGTCATTGCCGCGAGATCTCTCTCCACTTCTTCTGTATGGCTTGCTGTGGGTGTGTGGCAGGTGGTGCATAGTCTATTGGGCCCGACCTGGTGCAAATTAATATCACGAGGGTGAGGGCTTCGGCGGATCCACGGCCGTCCGTTTGGATGCTGCCATGATTCTTTTCCCATGAATGGGAAGTCCAAAGGAACGAGGTCAACGAGTTCTTCTGACAAGGCTTGGCAGCTGGGTATGTCAAAATCCAGTACGTAGATGCTATCCATCGAGCGTGCTCTTACGAGGTATTTGTGCGACTAGGGAGGGGTGTCCGGAGGAGCGTAGGTTAGGATGGGGTCGCACATATACGGGCCTGTGGCGAGCATCACCCCACATGTCTTGCCGAGAGGAGGTTGAAGTGGAGATTTGGGACGTAGAGCACGTTTTTGAACGAGATGTGCGTGTTGCTATCCCTAGCTTGCAGCACCACTATGCCTTGCGTGTTGGCGCGAAGTTGCTCGTTGTTGGCGACGGTGACGTAGGTGGCGGGTGCGCGGCTCATGTTAGAGACGTAGCGCATAGATCCCACCATCTGTTGTTCATAGTAGTTGTGTAGGTACCAGGTGTTGTGGTTGTCGTTGTTGTTGCGCAGAAGTAGTGCGAGTCGCGGAGTCACCAAGGTCGCCTTGTATCTCCTGTGAAAGGCGGGATCTTCATCCTCCTTCCATCCCACAGGTACGAACAGCTAATTGTCGTGGGGCAGAGTTCCCCGCAGTTGTATTAGCAGATGCCAATCTTTCTCTTCTTCGTCGTGACTTTTGTGAGGGGATTGTTCCGCCCTTCTTCAGGTTGAATATTTCGCCGCGGAGTTCTTCCTCTTCGTCTAGTTCAGCAGCGCGTGGCGACGCCTTGTCGCCATGTTCGCGATTACATTCCTGGGAGCTCCTGCTTGAGGTCCTTATGTCTGTTGATGTTGTTGCTGCTGTAGGAGGGCGAGGGGCTTGGTGTTGGTGCTGGTGTGGAGACTGACGCATATCTTGTCGACCGACCTAGTTATTATGGTGACTGGAATTTGGGTGGCAAAAGTTGGATCGGGATTTGCATCGATCCGTTGAGTGTCCGAAGACTTTGCAGGTTTTACAATAATGGCGCCTAGGTTGTCTTCGCCCTTCACGATTGTCCGAGTAGAAGGCAAGGCACTCTCGGCGCGGCGCGGAGCTTGTCCTGCTCGGGTCCATGTCCGGCTGTTCGGTCAGGAATGCGGCGCATAGCGCGGCTTTTGAGATAGTTCATCGTTGTCGGAGTAGCGCTTTGCAGGGCTTCCACTCAGGCCCGAGTCCTTGGAGGATGATGTTTACGAAAATCTCCTCCGAAATTGCGCTTCCATTCTTCACGATCTGGTCATGGATATTCCGATAGCGGTTAATCTAACTGTTTGCTTTCTTCCTATGCCCCATCTTGGTCTCCATCAGTTGTTTCAGGAGCCTGCTGGAGGTGACTCGGTCCTTCGGCTGATATACCTCAACGAGGTGCTTCCAGGCTTCCAGGGCTGGAGCGGCGCTCTCTTTGTAGGAGCGGATGCCGAGTTTCTCCGCAGGCGTAATGTTGCGTAGAAGTACGCTGTACGGGACTCACTGTAGTATTGAGCCCGGGCGTCTTCGGTGTCTTCCACCGGTTTAGGATAGGAGCCGTCGAAGTAGTGGTAGATCTGCGCTGTCTGTAGGAGGAGCTCAAGCTCAAAACTTCACGTGTAAAAGTCATTGTCATCAAACACGACAGTAGTCTTGATCTTTTAGACGCAGAGAAAACGTACTTGTGCAGAGTTGATTGCTTGTGTAGTTCTTGTTGATTTGTCTGTGTCGAGGGAGAAGCCATACGCGGCGGTATCATGGCTTTTTGTAGCCGGTTGACCAGGTTGAGCTGGTTGGGAAGAGGTTTAAGCATCGCCTTTGCGCAGTTCTTGGAGTTCTTTCTCCGTAGTTGATAGTGGTGCGAATAACTGCTTGAGTGCGGCAGTGCCGATCGTAATTGTCGCCTCATTTGTCACAGCCGGGTTGGTTTATCATTCGGCCGTCAGATTTGTTTGGCCTCCGGATCCTCCGGCCATCTTGGTCTTGGAGCGTGTGCCGCTCGCCAGATCTAGCTTTGGCAAATTTTACGGAAGTGAAGTTGCGAAGAGTCCATGAGTAGCTCTCATACCATGCTACAATCCCAAGTGGGACTTAGCGAAGGATCTTTTAGGGTTGATCTAAGGTAGTATTGCAGCAGAAGTATTGAACTCAGGTCGGAGTGAGTGTAAATAACTAAGAAAATAATATAATGCATACATTGAGTTTATATAGGAAATACAAAGGAATACGAAACGACCTAGACTAGCCATTTACACTAAGGGGTACATTTCCTTATAGCAGCGAAATTCAAACCGTGCGGCGCGGGAACCAGTTTCAAACCTGTTCCTGCGCTTTTCATTTCAAATGTTTCTACCTGCATTGGTCTTGGTCAGAAGGTTGATGGTGTATCTTCGACTCTTCTGACTCCTCGACTTCGTACTCCATCGTGGAAAAGGCAAGTGCCAAATAAAACTTAAAAGTGGCGCTTTCATAACTTTCCAGTTGCATTTTCCGCGCAAGAAAAAAGTTTGACTCAGCAACAGTGGTAGCGTCAGTAACTACAACCGTCACCTTCCCGTCACTTTCTGGCAACAACGTGTGCAGATTCCCGCATCCGCCACGCAAGTGTACAGGCAACTTCACAACTGGAATACAGTAACCACACACGTTACTCGGATGGTCACCATAACGTTGCACCGCAACCACCCACCTCACATACCTCCCAGTAACCAAAACATGCGGCGACGTACACGTGCCCACGTGTACCTGAATTTCAACCATACCTGCCACGTAAGCGTACACACCCACTACATGCCGAACCTACCACAGCCGCACGATTACGCACCACCACACCAACTATGCACCGTTCACGTGTAAACAGCTCCGCGAGTCGCCAATACTGTTACAATACCTCCAGCCAAACGAGTACCATAGATTAGGGTAGTGCATACCACATCCAGCCCGTCCATTCTCCATGCATTGTATGCCTCGCACCACTACCCCCCTGCCACGTGCAACTCACAACGTCCATTGATACAGAACTACCACGCGCCATCTCACCACCTGCTTGTCCCACGTGTCCTCAACACCCGCCATCGTACTATGTGTTACCCCTTCTCGCAGCTACCTCGCATGCGTAGCCCAACCACTTGCACGCGACCATGTTCTACACCCTACGTAGCATCAACAACTCATAGGCTGCCACGTATCAGCCACTGTTTAGGGAGATCGCACCGGCGATCGCAAATGCGTGCGGCAGCAATTCGCACAGCCCCTACGCGTCGCATCACCACCTTCAGACCTCACAGGGTTGGTGCACGACACCCGCGACCACCAGCGTGGCAGTTGGGCCACGTTGAGGTTTCGCACCGCTCGTAACATGGTCGCCTGCACCACACTTCCAGTGTCGCACAACACGCATCACCAAACACCAGCCGTCCACGGAGGACGGGAACGATCCACCCCTCCACCGCCACGCGTCACTTTCACACCTTCCAAAAACGCCACCATGCCAAGCACACAAACACCGTGCCGACAAATGGGGCCTCGTCAACTGTTCGAACCAACCAAGGCAATCCACGTGTTGCGCTCAAAGTAGGCGGATCCCAAACCAGTGCCCCTCTCGTGAGCACTCCGTCAAACGCGGCGACATTTGCGGTGCACATGACGCGCGCCCCGGAAAATTTGGTTCAATTGGTCCTAGCCAACCAGCATTGCCCGCCGATGTCTGTCTGGATGGATATTGACCCCGTCATGTCCATTACACACACTCAAAACAAGCATACAAGAACAATTACCAAAACCGTCTACCGCGCAACAAACACCGTAAACTGCAAGAGAAATCTAGTCACCTACAAACCCCAAACCAGACGCACGTATCTCAATAGCGCACGCAAAAGCAACATCACCTCCCACCACGGCAAGGTCTATGCCCACCAACAGCCCGTCCTCCCCCTCCCCGCCGCTCTACACACCCCCGACAGACACCGACTGCACATCGTTCCCGGCGGCGTCTCCTCCGCTAGCGCCTGCATTGGGCTTCATGCTCTCAAGCCCACATGCAGAAAGGCGGAGGCCATGGCGTCCCCATATCCACTCCTCTTTCTCCTCGTCGTACTCTGGATTGAAGTGACGGATGGCCTGTGAAACGGAGCCCTTCACAAGCACCTTGAGCCCGTTCATCACGTGGCCGTTCCCCCCCGCCGAGTTAGAGAGACGGCCCATCCTCTGCTCCCAGTACATGATGCTGTCGGACACCTGACAGGAGATTCACACCGCGCACACATTGTAAGCCTACAGCCCAGGCGAGGAGTAACCACCAAATTTAAACATTGTCACTCACCACGTGCTCTAGCCACGCAAGGTGGTACACCTTCAAAGTGAGCGGCAGTGCAGCCTTCTTCGGAATGAAGGCAGCCTTTGCGCACGCCGCAAACGCCGCAGAAGCAAAGGGCATCCCGTCGCGGTCGTTAGCCCAGTTGCTCAACACCAGATCATCTGCACACCGCCGACAGCTCGAACGAGTAAAAAGACTACACCCAAGCACGCAACCGTCACCAATGTGTAGAAGCGCCTGAACACCGCTTACCGCTCTCATCCGCTCCGAGCCCAATGCGCTCGCGAATCTGCTCCAGCGTCCGTGCGTTGTCCCTTGCCCACGGGCTTGCCTCGTCGCGCTCGTCCCGGAAGAATCCAAGCTTCGGGAGCGCAATGTCCCGGACCCGTGCTGCAGCCCTTGTCTTCCACTCGCTCAGCGTCTTGTTAAGGTCCGCCCGTCGGGACTTGTCCGCTGCCAGCGCGAGACACGCGAAGCTATGCGGCAGGCGGTCAAGCACTGCGCAGACGCCATAAGTCTTGTCGTCAGAGCTCGGATAGAAAGTCATGGTTGCGGCCGGCTTCTTCAGGAACAGCTGCACGCGGACCAACTCGCATAGTCGCTGCACACAAGTCAGGAACCACCGCAAACACTGAATGAGAACAGTGCTCCACCAAAGGGCATCCCCCTGCAGACTGCGCCCGCCCATACAGTAATGTTTCCCGTCTGCTAGCACAACCCACCTTCCAAGCCTTGTCTGCTGGCAGCAGATCAAGTGCGCGTTGCAGAACAGGCGACTTCGCATACCGCATATGTTTACGTCGCGTGCGAATCTGTGCCACGTCCTCGAAGTCGTCGTCGTCGTCCACCTCATTGTCATCGTCCTCAACCTCAGCCACAGCCTCGCCACGACGCTGGCGCTTTGGGTTCATGCATCCCTGTCCCGGCTCCCTCTGCCGCTCTGCTTTGCGGCGACGAGATCCCCCATCGGACTTCGCCAGTGCCTCCAAAAGCAAGGTTTCCAAGCGGGCAACCTTCTTCGCGCTCTCGTCTTGCGACTTAAGCAGGCTCCTGAATACTCCCGCAGAAACGCGCACCTCCTCTCCATTGGTTGGGACATCAGCGTTCTCGCGGTTCGTGTTGGTTTCGAACATCGCGCGCATCGCGTCGCCCACATCCTCGTCATCCTCCTCTTCGAAAGCGTTGACGTCGCTCTCGATGCGTGCCTGGTCGCCCCCGTCAACGTCCTCGCCTCGATTCCGGAGAGCCAGACGCGGATCAACGTCGCTCTTGGAACGCGAATCTGGCGAGTCACTCTCCGCCGCTTGCTTGCCTACTCTGCCGGGAGAAGCGTCAGATGTCTCCCCCCCCGTAGTCTCTGAAGTGGTGGGAATGTAGACGGACGAGAGAATGTAAGTTCGAGGGTTTAAAAGCTCCATTGCGGAAGGAAGGGGAAAGCCAACGGATTCAAAAGCATACGAGACTGTAAACGCCTCAGTTCTTTGGAACAATTCCCACAACATGCGCAACAAACCCGTGATTACCATCACCAGCAGATTTTCCGCCACCTCCCGCTCTGGCAAGCGTCAAACGCTTAGGCAAAGCAGTTCCCCGAGTCCCCCTTGCCATGCGCCCACGAGGAGTTGCAAGCTGATATGCCGCGCGCAGGTACGCCGGAGGCTGGGACACTCGCCGTGCACGCCCCAAGTTGCCAGTATCTTCGGAAGCAAGGGAAGTCTCCATTGTGCCCAGTTGACAGTGTTTGAGTGCTACGTACGCATTCCTTAGTGCTCGGATTGATATAGCAAAGTATACGGTACCCAGTGAACATTGCTCAACAACGGAAACACCCATTGTGAAAACCGTTCCCTCCAATCAGATATAAGGCAATCTCTGACAACCACTCGGAAACAACCTCCACGATTTCTGTCATCTTTGTAAGCGAATACGCATCGGCCACCGATCCCCGTCATCTTTTGTCCGAAAACCCGTCCTCTCGCTATCAGTTCCGCTTACTCCGTCTTCGGTACACTTGCTATCATGCAAATTCAAAACACCTCCACATTCAACTCCAGATATCATTTACTAGCAAAATAGTACAGACACGATAGATTTCACATACTTTCCACACGCATGTAAACATCAGTCGGGTACGGATGCCTTTTTCTATCCCACGGTACACTCTCATTTCCCACTGATATCCCAAGCACCATCCTTCTGCCTCCCACGACCAGCTTCATCAGTCTTGTCATCCGTGGACTTTGCATCGGCACTGCGGAGCCTCCCAAGCGCCCTGCTGTTGGTTGGTTCGATGGCAACGATCTCAGTGTCCTCACTTCCAGCCTTCTCTCCTTCACCCTCTCCTGCCGTGCCACCACCCTGCGCACCACTCTCCTTTCGCGGTCTCCCCCTTTTAGCAGGCGTTGCATTCTTCTTGGCCCGCGCTGCCTTCCGCATCACACCTTCGTACGCCTCCCTCCATACCCTCCAGCGCCACCACATGCGGGCATCCACCAGGACTTTTAGGACTTCAGGAGTGCACCCCTTCAAAGCTGCCCTATCCGCCGGTGTTAAAGCCACAGAGTTCCTGGTGCCCATGCCTGGCCTCAGCACGTGGGCTGCTGCCGCGTAGCAATACGCTGCCTCCTCTATCGTGGTGTAAGCGCCGACTCTCTTCGTTACCTTCTTTCCGTCCTTGTCCTTGGCGACAACCTTCACCCCAAACTTGCCTGTATCGGCCTCCACATACACCCCGGTGTACTTGGTCGGCTTTGTTCCTGGCTCGGTCTCCCCCTCTCCGTCCTCGTCAGAATCCTCTCCTCCGGCCAAGGGCTCCTGCTTAGGCACAGCTGTGAAGCCGGGGTGTGCGCCCGCACCGCTCTGCGCGATGCCGTAAACAGGATAGGATGGCTGGACTAGTGAAACCGCAGCTCCCTGCTGGCGCGACAACAGCCAGTGTGGAACCGTCCCGGGGATCGGCAGATGTGCCGGGAAGCAGGGGTACGCTCCAACGGCTGACGCGAACTTGCTGTCGAGCGACACTCTCGTGTTGGAGCCCACCAGATCCTCGTCAGGGCTGTCGTTCAGCTGCTTCGTGTATCCTGAAGGCCGTACAGGAGTGGTTGGGCCGTGCTTGCGCGGATCATTACCTCCCGCTCCCTGCACAGCGCAGGCAGGCTTCTGCAGCATGTTTTCGCCGGCAGAGATCAGCTCCTCCCTCGACATCCCAAGCACCTGCCCAATTGCGGCGAATCCTGCAGTCATCGCACCGACCTCGCGCTTCAAGGAGCACACCTCCGCCTCGAGCCGGTCCACACGTCTTTGCTCTGTGTGTTGTCCGTCCTCTGCACCCTCCTTCAAAGTCGTGTTGGTGGTGGTGCCGCTTTCCTGAGAAGGAACATCCACGCCATCTTCCTCTAGCCTCCGGAGCAACTCCCCCATAGCGTGTGCGCATATATCAGCGCGCATGTTGCGGCGGTACTGCAGCGCGCTGACCCCTTTGAACCACAGGCCACTCTTCAAGTTGGCGAAGTCGGAGTAGACCAAAACTTTCAAGTAGTGGCAGATGAAGACTCCGCAGTCAAAACCATTCTCTTGCTTAGGGATGTGGTTCGCCTGCACACAAAGAATCCGCACACCGGGTAGCCGCTTTTCACATTATAAACCTCAACTGCCTAACACCAAAAACACCAGAACAGCCGCCCTTACCGTGAGGACATGACAGGGAACGTCCTTCAGCAGCAGTTCAAAATTCGACATGTCCACATGTGGGTGCGTCTGCTTGGCGAGAGTTGTCAGCAACCTGCATCACGTCTCATATGAGGAACCCGGTTACATCCACGCCGGTGTTAACAACCACCATATTACGGCTTATGCTACAAACACTTACAGCTTCACGCCACTGAAAACCTTCTGTGTACTCATGGGGGCCTTGGAGCTGTCGAACAACACCATTTCCAGCGGAGGGCTATCCTTCCTTGCCATCTTATCCACCAGACGGTGGGGTGATACGACTATCACCAATGAGTAGTGCTCTCTGCAGGGAGGCAAGCGGCAGTAAACGGCAGTGATTAGTACGGCCGATGAAGAATGCATGCAACTCACGGGTGTTGCTGAACTACTCAAACAGCTCGATGATTACCCCCTGTAGACAGGGACCGCCAGGTAGTCGTGCTCAAGGAGAGGCAGGCCGTTTCCAGCATTGACGGGAGTATTGTGCTCAGTGGTGTTCGCGAAGTTGTTGCAATCGACAGCCGCCCATGTCTTCCCGTTTGACAGTTTCGGCACTCGGATGCTTAGTAGCCTGGAAACACACGCCGGACATGTTGGAAAGTCGGCATAAAGGGAGGGCATCGGATCCGCCTGCTGCGATTTATCATGTTAAAAAAAAAAAAACAAACGTGCACGTAGCCGGGCGAAACCGTTACTCACACGTTGTGGAAGTCGATCACCCCGTCAGTCACCCATGTGTTGTCCGCGATGGAGGCGAGATCCTTCTTGTCGACTGTGCTGACCACGTCGCGATGGTTCTTGAGCTCCACGTTGCGATATTCGACTTTGTAATAATTCTTCTCCAACGCCGCCACCAAATCGTCGGGCTGAGGGAGTTCAGCAGGCGTGCTGGCTGCACCGTCAGCGACTTCCATGGTCTTTCCCTTGTCATCCTCCACCGCCCGTCGTTGCCTTTTTTTGTTAGAGCCGGCGGCCTTTCCCTTACGCGACCTTGTCGCACGCACTTCTCTTATCTCGGACTCGGAGCAGCCGCTCGATTCTTGGCTGCCGGTGTGCGCGTTTTTCGGAGGCATGGTTGGCGCGGGATGAGGGGAAGGATGCGATTTCAGAATCAGGTGTACTAGGGCCCGGCCACGGTTCCCACGGTAAACTAAAACCGTTAGGGTTCTCCAGCGAACGAATTTGGGAAAGCGCAATAGCCCGTGGCAAGAAGGCAGCAAAAGTGGTCACATCCCCCGATGGATGACAGATCTCCAGTTAGGGTTACGCGAGGTTCGTCGCATCATGCACAGGTCACCGAGATGATGACAGCTGGGCACCGCAGAATGGTCTGGAATAGTTGGATGAGTGCATGTCATTGCTCCGTAGCCAGCACGACATCGAGAGGCTCCTAATAACGGGGGTGCGTGTATGACTTGTTTTATATCAGGCATTTTCAATTCGAAATGGAGTGTAGCGTCGATAAAGTAGTGGTCCAGTTGATAGGGCCAACTCCCATTTGTTTCGACTTATGATGATATAAAGTGATACGACAATGCACAAACGCGTACATCTGGCTCGTGACGTAAGGTACGAAATTGGCACTTCCTCGCACGAATTGCTAGTACACCGCTGTGGGCAAGGTGTAGACACGGGGCCACCTGGCCAGTGTAGCAGTGATCAAACAGTGCCGGATGGGAAAGCCCCTGTTTACGGGATGCGTACGTGGGAGCACGTGCACATATACGCGGCATGTAAAGTCTCGTTGAAGATTTGTAATATGATGGCGCTTATAATGGGCTGACAGTCTGCTATTGTTTCGTGGCCAAATTTACGTAGGTATATATTATCAATAGTAAACGGATAGAGTTGCACACTATTTGTTTGCTTCAACGACGTAGTCTTATACACATATCGTCTATCTTCACATGGCTATTTATGAACAACCAAGTGTATTCTTACGTACATGTAGTGTGTACGAAGCACTGACGCCTCATATGTTGCCGCGCACGGCCGTGGACGATATGAAAACCGACTACCTCAACCATTGCTAGTGGTCGGATTAGGGTTTGTAGCAAGTCCGAGATGACGGGAAACAAGTGCGGAGTGTGCGGTAAGGAATTTCCTAGCGACCGTGACTTGCAGTCTCATCTCTCAGACAGAACGAAATGCGGGGACTCGTTGAAGAGAAATCTCGAGCAGCTTATGTTTGATGCTTACCTGGATGCGCTAAACAGTGTTGGGCAAAAACGCCAGCGCAGCCCTGCTACGTCTGGGGCCAAAGCCAACCCTATACCTACGAACTTGCCGCCAGAGGGCTCACCGCCGCAGGCGACGGAGGCAGATCATGAGGCGGACGATGGCGACTCAAAAAGCTCTACTTCTTCGGAGGCCAGCGACGTCTCCGACTTCTTCGACACGCTCACGGAGCTGTACCTGTTTTTCCGTGACGCGGACTTATCACGCCGTGAAGTCAACAGACTGCTTAACATATTCCGTAACCCTCAGTTCAGTTTGAAGGAATTACGCAAGTGGCGCAGCTACGCCGACGTGAAGCGATGGGGGAAAGAGCGTGCGCCGCCAGATATGGTTCCATGGAAAACAGAGCATATCGTCGTGCACGGGCCCAGAGGAATGTCCCAAAAGCTTCTCTTGCACTTCCGCGACACAGAGCTGGTGAGCTTGTCGTCATCTGCGTACCGCCCTTATTCGGCTTAGGTGTTGTGACAGATGGCGTGTAACGTGCCTATCTATATTTGTATTGTCGCGCATGCTTGCTATGGCCATGCTCTGATGTGCAGCTTGTGAAGAAGCTAGTCCGCATTTTTTCGCGGAGGAAGGGTTTCGTGTGGAAGCCACAGGAGAAGTACAACGAGAAGGGGAAGCGCGTTTTCGAGGGGCCAGAAACAGGCACGTGGATGCACGAGGCGCAGGTGCGTTGCCTGGCTGAAACAGTGCATGTCCAATGCAGGGGCGTGGTACTGTAATAACCACCTCGGTGTGTGCGTGTGGCAGAAAGAGATCAAGGACGACAAGGCTCTGATTCTCGGGGTCATCGTGTACAGCGACAGCACTCAGGCGTCGCGCAACGGGCGGCGGAATGCATGGCCTGTTCTGATATCGCTTATTAACATTCCGGAGGAATTGAGGTGGTTTGAGCCGGGCCACACTCTTGCGGCAGTGTTGCCATTCTGTCCGGAATGGGCTAGTCCGACAGAGAAGGCCCGTGTTTTCCAGGAGGCGCTGAAGATCATCCTAGGACCCCTGATGCGGGAAACCGCAAGGTACGTTTGGCGGCATGTGTGTTGGTTCTTCACGCGGTTTCAAGTTGCTTGTGACGTACCTGTGATCCGTTACCTATTCGAAATCCCTTTCTGTATCCAGTGCTCCTGTGAGGTACTTTTATGTGACAGACGCCACCGGCAATGTGGTCAAGGCGGTACCTTGCCTCTATGGGTACCCTGGTGACTATCCAGAGAACAGTAGGGCCTCAGCCACGCTGCAGACGGGCACTCATCGCCCCTGCGCTAACTGCTATGCAGAAGTGGGAGAGCTGAAACGGCTGACTGCAAAAATAGATCCACGCACACCTGAGCGGCAGAAGGACATTGTGCGACAGTTTTTTGCGTTCGCCAAAAAGGAGGACGCCCGGAAGTACATGAGCCAGTGGTCAACCCATCCGATAGAGGTATGTTGCAGTTTGCCATTGTGCCGTGGAAACATTCGTTCGACTCGTGGCGACACTGTACATATAGGGTTGTGACGTGCTTCCTTCTGTGCGCAGTGCGTGCTGGCGCGGTGGAACTTTGGGAACACCACCTGGGGGAACGTCTACCTCGCATGTTTGGCTGACATTTTACACGTGCTGGACTCTGGTGTCTTCGTACACATGATGGAAGAATATCTTTCCCCCCTGGGGAAAGTCGAGATCCGCATCCTGGAGAGGTGAGCCGTGTAGATCATCAGTGCGGTGTTTTGGGGTGGACAGGGCTTTGTCAGTTCCTTGGAACGGGATTTATGGCTTGGCCGAGATGCGTAACTGGCTCGTTGGTCCCTATTGCGTGCCAGGCGGAAAAAGGAGTTCAAAAGCGATACTCCAAGTGTGCTGCTGCGGATTCCTGGGGGATCATCATTCTTCCTTTCTGGTGCCCACTATGCGGCGTTCGAACATCGTGCCATGATGCAAATCATGCCGATCCTCATTGCGGATTCTAGTGCCTTGAAGAAGGGCGAGGCGGGAGAGTTGAGGGCGCTGCAGGTTAGAGCATTCCGTTATTACGCCCTGTTCTACAAGGCGTTTTTGGGAGTGGCGGCGCACACCCGTGCCACGCTGAAAGAGGCCAAGCAACGTGCTGTTGCGTAAGTACGGTGGTTGGAGACGTGTATAGATTGCGATCCTTGTGCACCCTTAACCCTGTGCTTTGCAGTCTGCTGTTAGAACCTCTGAGCTACACAACTGTTTGCTATGCAGGTTGATGGAGCTGCTGCCCAAGGCTTTCCCGGACCAGGCGTCAAAGTGGGAAATTCCCAAGATCCACATGATCAAGCATCTTCTCGAGAACGTGGAAGCAAGGGGGATGCCACACCACTACAGCACGGAGATGTGGGAGCGCACTCACAAGGGGACAGTGAAGGGTCCCGTGAGGGGGAGCAACTGGGCTGACATTCCGAGGAGAATTGTGGATGAGGAGATGCAGCGGGAGATTTACAGAGAAGTGGCGATCGATGCGGGAGGAGGTCGGCAGTACGTGTCAGCGCTGCGTGTGGTGAGTGTTAGGGTGCAAGCAAGACTAGGGGTGGTGCGCTGGGCGACTCACGCCCTGTACTAGGTGCGTGTTTGCTATGCACTCTCATTCAGTGCATGCTGTGTCGCCGGTGGTTGTGTGCGGCAGGCCGTGGAAGAGATGGAGCCAGTGCTAACGAAGAAGTTCAGGGTCATGCGCCTCGGAGGCACCGCGGACAAGGTGTTTGCCGAGTACGCAGCGGTATTTGGGGATCAGATGGCGGGCCTACCAGGTCAGCTGCGGGAGATGCAGTTGAACCCTGGCAGTGTGCAGGTAATTGTTTTTGTGTGGTGCACGGATTGTCGGTTTTTGGTGCGCGGAACGAGTGACATTGCCTGACCTCTTTGATTTGTGCGTGGTGCTTGCCTTATTGCAGACACACACAGCAGTGGCCATACCACGTACGCAGGGTGGGGTGCTTGTGGCGAAGGGGACGTTCGTCAAGGCGTCCCCGCGAGAGAACCTATTCTCAGATGTGGCACTCCTGGCTCCTGAAGGCGGGGATTGGTTTGCTAGATGCCTATGTATTTTCAAGGCGTTGAACGCGGAGGGCAAGTGGACTGGGTGTGCCTACGTGAGGTACTACGAAGCAGCAGGCCAGTGTCCCATCACAACGTGCACCCAGTTGCATCCAGCTCGAGAGAGTGTCCGGTTCGCAGTGGTGTTGCTGAAGAGCCTGCAGAGGGTTGTCCACGTATGCCCATCGTACAGCAACCCTCGTCTGCTGCTGGTTAACAAGTTTCTACTCTGCGAGTAATTGGAGTAGGGCTGTGTGTTTGGAACTGAGGGGAGGTGGTTTTGTTACACTCATAGAAGGGGTGGAATTGTGGGATTGTGGCATTTAGGGGTGCATGGGAACCTGGGTAAGGGAAGGAGAGTGCGCAACAGAATAGTACGCAGGTCTCATGCTTTGATTTGGTGGGCTTGTGTGGTGGGAATGTGGGATTTTGAAAATGCACCGTCATACTGGAATTTTGGCGGCCGGTGTGTGGATTGAGGCAATGCTTGTAACGGATTTGGTTATTACGGTTGTTGGTTCAGGGCACTGGTGTGCGGATTTGGGTTTTGTGGCTGAAATGCAGGGACACTCTTGTTACGGAATCCAATTGGATTTGTGGCTGGGGCTAATGGTTCGATGTTCGGATTTCTAGTGCGTGTGACTGGCAGGTGCGCATTTGTGTGACGTGTACGACATCAGAGGTTGACAGGTTGGGCCAATGGGAACTGCGCAATTGTGTACCTGGCATTTAGTGGACAGTGTTCAGTTGGAGAGCGATTCAGTGGTTGCTGCACATGTGGAGCGCCTAAAAGGCAGCACATGTGGTGGTGGAGCGTACGGTTTGGGCTTTTGGTGGATTATTTTGGGGACGTCCACCATTTCATCTCCAGCGTCCCACACGTTGTCCGGGGTGTGCTGGTGGCCAGTATGAGCTCGGTGAAGCCCCCGTTGAAGGACATCGTACAGAAGCTGAAAGTGCTCCCCGACGATGTGTTTCTGTTTGTGGAGATACCGTTTATGCCCAGCCGGTTGCCGAAGACCAAGATACCGGGGAGGAACGGAACCCCGTGCGACCGGATCATAAGTGTCGGCTTCTTGTACAATGCGACGGGGACCTGCACCACGGTGCCCCTTGTGGTGTTGCGCCATGACGAGCGCCCCGAACCTAGGCGCAGCGGGGATCCTGCACCGGCGGTGATTGTGCGCTACACGAAGAGTGGGCGCCTCACACCCGAGGTATGTGGGCAGATTTCGAGTGGACTCCCACCAGCACATGTGTATAATGTTGAGGCTGCATTTCAACCCTGTTTCTGTGTGATACCCTAATTCCGCGCTGGCGCTGTCGTGGCTTGGCGGTGCGCAGGTGTTTACCGAGTTTTTTCAGACGGTTGATGGGGTGCAGCTTAGCCGTGGAAGGAAGACGGTTGTGTTCACCTACAACACGGCGCACCGCATTACCGCGAATGACGCGGAGACCACGGTGGAGCATGGGCTGACTATGGTGCATTTCACGCACACACGCTTTGTGGACCTGACAGACGTTGTGCACTGGTCCAGTATGCCGTTTTTGCACGGCGTGGTGGACGCTTTCAAGGCTGAGTATCGTGTGATACTGATGAGACGCGCGGTGCGGTCCAATCTGTTCCACGAGGATTTCGAAGCGCCGTTTTCCCTGGTGAATTACGGTGTTATGCTGCTGTGGGTGGGCTTGGCATGGAAGGCGCTGACGGCGGCAACGATGCAAAGGAGCTGGTGGAGGGCGGGATGCGTCCCGGAGTCATGGTGGGAGCTGATGTGGCACCTGCACGGCATGTACTCGGCCGGCATGTACGATCCCCTGGTCTCTACCACGGCGGACCTCCTGGTGCTGCTACGTGAGTTCCGTGTGCGGCCGGCTATTTATATGCCGGTGTCCGATTACGTGACATGCGATGAGTGGTTAATGGAGAAGGCTGGTGTGAAGTTGGTGACGCCCACGACGCCGACGTCTTCAGGGGACGAGGGCGAGATGTGCCTGCCGGATGGGCCTCTGATGCGTGACGAACGAAGCCGACGACGTGCCATCCGCAATGTGACGAACGCGTACGTGTGTCACGCGGAGGCGCTGGGGATTGCTCCTGCGGAGGTGGCGACTGTCGTTGGCGCCTCTGATGGAGAGGTGGTTAGCCGCCTAAGCCGCACACCGAAGAAGCGAGCGCGCAGTTCGGGGTCGTCGGACAGTGGGTCCGTGTAGTGCGCTTGGTTTTGATGCTGTAGTGGGTGGGGGGAGTGTTTGTTGGAGGGCATGCCTCGAAGGGTGGGCTCATCTTTGTAGTTGTGGTTGCTGGTTGAGAGTAGGGTTTGGTTTTGTGTGATGTTGTACTTTGTATTGCTGAGTGCTGGAGTTGCAAGCGAATGACACGGTTTACACATTATGAAGTAGACGGTGTGCAGAGCAGTGTAGTTTGGTTTGTTCAGTATATACAGTTGCTCGGAGTAGGTGTGCATTTATCGTTTCTGTGGTCCCTGTAGCGGGGGAGGGGCGACACGACAATACCGAGTATGTGTGGCGTTTTTGGCTCGAGCCGCATGTGTTCGAGGCGCATTCGTGGAGGCGGCGCGGATAATGGCGCAGGTGACCCCAAAGTGACATTTTGGTGGCGGTAATGTTGTGGTCCAGTGTGCGGTTATTGATCGCGCCAATGTTGCGTTTTACGGTCCTTGTTTTTCGGACACTTGTCGCAACAATCACGCAAGCCCCACGCAGAAAAACCTTCGGACACCCCAAAACGCAATTTCCCTTTTCCGCGATGTCACTAGAGTCGGCTCCTGCATCGTACAGGAATGTCTTCTCGTAAAGTTTCATATCGTAACACTGGACATACTCGAATAGTGATTTGTGACGTGACAAGACTTGCGAATTCATGAAGTCAGTAACCAGCTCAATTTGGACCGTTTTTTTTAACTTTGGCTCAAAAGCTCCACGTCGTTATGAGCAAAAAACGTCTTCCCGAACAAAAAACACTTGAAATTTGTCCAGCCTTGTCAAATTGTGGGGGGGGCTGCCAAAGCTTCGAGGGGTTTCATACATACGGTACAATTGATGCTCACCTAGTCCCGTTGAGTTTGCTCGTCCCCGTTCAGAACCATTCCCTTGTGCATTTGTATAAGGCCAATGACCGTATGGCCCTGTTCGCCACATCTTTTGTGGGCCTTCAAAAGGATGGGCGGGGGATCGGGAATCCGCCTTGCACCTTCGTGAAGGGCTTAAAACAGGGTTTTGGGGGCGGTCAATCCGACGAAAGCATGTCGAGCCTGACGATCCCCTCCGAACCTCGATAAGTTTGCTGCTAGAGGGGAAGAGGGGAGGCAGGTGCTAGATCCCCTTGTCCCCCTTCCTGATCCCATTGGCGAAATTTCAGTCGTGGGCGAGCCCTCCCAGACTTAGTTCACAACTTGTCAATCACATGCGGGCTCGAGGGCAGGTCCCCCATTAACGCAACTAAGTGCCCCTTAGGTAAGCCACGACTGGCTGGCGGAGACGAAAATGCACACGACGTGTTCCACAACAACTCATCCACTTCACATTCATTTTGCTCTCGACATCCAACTATAAGCATCCACACTAGAGGCTGCTAGAGGTCATTAACTCTTACCACCATGCCTCGCATATACCGGCGCCACCAGTTACCTCTCCGAGTGAAGCGCGCTATCTGCGCATATCATATAGCAAACACACACTTGCGTCACGAGGACCTTGCGTGCTAGTGTTCCACTTGATTCGGCATGTGTCCTGGCCATTGTATGATCAGGGAAGGTTCTGAAATCTGCACTGCGATGGTCCAAATCTAAGGACAGTGGCAACACATCGCGCATGCGGGGTGGGGTGCACCCGGACCTCGAGCGTTAAATGCTTCGTTTCATCGACTATTTTGGACCGGCGGGCATCCCTCTAACGCTTGTCACCATTCGTGATCACATGGCCGGTGTGGCTCGTGAGATGGGGAAGCCCACATCTTTTTGGTGCTCTGTCGGATGAATGAGGCGTGCTATGAAGCGCCACGGTGTGCGCTGTCTCACCTAGCATGGCGAAGCGGCCGATCAGGACCTCAACGCTGTCACGACCTGCAAGGAGAAGTTGCCGCAACTTTTGATGCATCTCAACGTGGCGGCCTGTAAGGCTGTCAACTTCGACGAGATGACACTGTTCATCTCTGTGCTCCCGCGCAAGACTTACGACTGCCGGCGCATCGCATGTCGTAAGATCCCAAAGGAGCGCTTGACTGTCGGCTTCATCATCAACGCGGAGGGAACCCCTTTGTGGCGCGCGCTTATCATTTCCAAGGCCAAGAAGCCGTACGACTTCTGTTCGGACTGGGATCCCGAGCCCTACTACTATTTGCGTTCCAACGAGAAGAGATGGATGATCTTCTCGGTAAGTCATTGATCCCATTTCACTACCGTTACCAATTGTTTATTTGTGTATGTACCGCATGTTTCACTTACTGGCATATATACACTTACTAGCCACTGCCGTTTACCTTTCCCTCCCCCCCTTCCTGACCACGCGGTTATTTACGAAGTTCATTGAGCAGCTCAATGCTGCCATGTTCGCGGAGGGGCGACACGTCGCCCTGCTGCTGGACAACGCCTGTAGCTACATCTTAAAGTCCGAGCACGTGATGTCCGAGGATCTCTTTGGGTTCAGGACCCGTATCCTCTCAACAACCCGGCTGGTGTGTTTGCCGCCCAACACCACCTATTTTACGACCAGGGCCTCATCGCAACGGTGAAGGCGCGATACTGGGCTTTGTGGCTGCAGGACGTCATGGACCGCTGGAGAGTCGCCGGTGCACATGTGCGCCACCGTCCCGACATGCGCGACGTGGTGTAGTGGGTTTCGCATTCATGGTGCAACATTGGACCCAAGACTATTCAGCGGTGCTGGTGGCGCACGCGCTGTCTCCCATTAACGTGGGAAATGCAGCTCGTGCAGGTGCAAGACCTATAGGGACTCGCGGACGACCCCGAGTTTGACCTGCAGGGCGACATCTACGACGTCAGCCAGCTCATCTTGGACGAGCGCAGTCCCCGACGAGGATCCCCTTGCGCTTGAACCGCCCGCCGCCGACCCGGTTAGTGCCTGTGTGGAGCGACCTGGACCCGAAGTCGCGGGAGGAGCGGCGTCTCGCGCGGGCAGCACGCGGGATGCTGATCGGATATACGCAAGTGACAAACATTACGCCGCGCGATTTGTGCGCCCTGTTCGACATCCGCAAACACATCATCTTGGAACGGATGGAATGGGCCAGCCCACGCCTCGACCTCAACGGAGCAGCGGAACAAGCCAGCCTCTCCGCGGGCGTGTCCTCCCTTGGTCCACCAGATGTTTGACGCTGGAGTTAACACCGTCTACGAGAACACCGCAGAGTGGATGCGCAGTTGGTAAGTCGCATCCACTCAAAACATGGACGCCATCAAGGACGGCAGTGACGGGAGAGGCAGGAGTCGGAGTATGCGTGCGTGGACTAGAACATTGAACGCACAACTCGTGCGCACAACATGAGCATTACAGCCACTCTCCTTGTGTGTGTGTTCTTTCACTTGGGTGAATTGAGGGGTTGCATGTGCCAGGATTTGAAGCAGTTGTGATTGTTATCAATGAGCACATGTATTCAATCACCAATGTTCGGGCGTGTGGGTTACTAGCAACAGTCACAATGAGCAAGTGTTGCCACACAGGACAATATCACTAAAGCTAAGCATGTTACGTAGCTGTACATTTATAGTCCCTTCCAGGCCCTGGCGAAATGAGCGAATAGGGTAAATCACATGTGCCAGTTACAGTTTACCACCGGCCCAAAAGCTGGCGTGACTGTAATGAGCATTAGTGTACATAAAGGTAGAGATCTCGCCCGAACCGATTTTTTTTGTTATGGAGTTTCCGCCAGCCTTCCTCGACCTTTGCCCACTTTCCCCAGGCACCGTCATCCCTCAGCGATTCTTTCAGGCATGATGCCCTACCAACCACTACTACCACAGGTAGCACAGGGCTTTTTGAGCCGCACCGACGCAATCAGCAGATGAGTACTGGTAGGAACCTAATAGCACACCAGACATTGCGCGGCGAGTTCCAATGCCTGCCACGCATAGAACTCGTTCCGCGCGCCGTCGCGATGCGCCACCGTGGTCAATGCCGCGTGCTGGTGTAGCAATTCGGCTGCTCCTTTGCACGGCCCTCGGTCTTGCCACCGCTGCAGATTGCTCCTTCTCTTCCGCCAACCACCCACTGCCGCGACGACAAGCCCCCCATCGGCCGAATCAGCGCGTGCTGTCGCCCATCCGCGCCCAGCGCTCGCTCCTCAAGCTCGACGCCGCCACCCCCGCCGGCGCCGCGGCCGACTCCGAGCCGACCGGCGGCGCCGCCGCCGCAAGGCCCGTGGCTTTGGAGGCGACGCAACGTGAGCTCGCTGCCCGTCGCGCTCGACGCTCCCAGCGAGCTCCGCCGCCCCTCCGCCATGCATCTCTATAAACTATTCATCGCAGCATTACTAGGAGCTCAGTGCTGACTGGTCCGCCCCGCTGACGATGACTCAACCCCTTCCCCTCCCTTGTTTCGGGCGCGGCTCGCTGCGCGTGCGCAGTGAGCGAGATTGTGAAGGTGCAGGCGGCATGGGGCGCGTGGGCGGGCAACAGCAACGACACCACTGCGTGCTCTGCGTGGCCTGGCGTGACATGCAGCCCTAACGGACTGGTCATCGCATTGTGAGTGCCATTGTCCCCACTGCGCCCCCCCACTGCGGCCCCCCACTGCGGCCCCCCACTACGGCCCCCCACTGCTCCCACCATTGCCCTACATGAGTACCCTCACTGTTCGCCGCTTGACGACCCGTTATCGGGGGAACCATGTTCACGCGAACTACTGCACGCGCCTGGCGCATACTGCGCTGTCCGAAAACGTTCGTGAGCGAGCTTTCACATAGAAAACGTTGTGCCGGTGGAGGAATCGTGCAGATCATGCGCATGGAATGTGCACGCGCAGGGAAGCAGCAACGAATGTGCAGGGGAAAGTTTGCGCAGCAGAAAGTGTTCGCGCAGGAGGCTAAGATGCGAAACAGCCGGAATCGTTCATCCACAGCACATGGTACATGCCAAACGACCCGCTTCTCGTGTCGAAGAGTGTTCATTCCCGCTTCCCGGAAACTTTCTGTAATGGGGAAATTTAGAATGTTCACTAACCTAACACAACAAACACACCCAGCTGGGTTGCAAAATCTCCAACACGCGCGCCTCACTCCTATCATACGTTTCACGCGACTCGGCTCTCCCGGAGTCTAAAACTGCTTGCAGCCAATGCATGCATTCATTGCTGTGCATCACCTGTTTTTGTTCTGAATGGGCTGGACTTGTGTGAGCGGTGGTGAGTAACGGGGGCGAGAATTGGGATGATGCGGTTGAGTCTGATGGGGTAAGGGGCATGGAAGAGGGGGCGTAGGGAAAAGCGGTGGAGGTAGGGCGGTGGGAGGGGATGGGTAAGGCGATGGTGTGAAGGGGTGGGGGACGGATGGGATGGAAGCATGGCGTGGTTCCATGGCGTGGTTGCATGGCGTGGTTGCGTTGCATGCGTGTGTGTGGTGAGTGGGCGGCGTGGCAGGGATTCAAAGGCCGTGGCGGTGGATGGCAGCGCCGCCATACCTGCCTCCATCACCAACCTCGCCGCTCTGCAGTACCTGTCCGTCCCCACCCACCCACCCTCCCTCCCTGCCACTCCATCCACTCTTCATTGCTGCATTGCATGCACCATGCCATCACACCATCCATCACAGTCCTCCTGTTTCTTGCCCTCGGCGGCCGTGCTTGCTCGTCCATGCCCCGCCTCACCAGGAAGTTTCAAAGCGGCCATGCCATGCCTATGCAGAGAACACCCCCCCTCTCCCCTCCTCTCTTTCCCCCCACACGCCCTCATCTGGCTCTCCACTTGCTTCATAAGCCACACCCGGCTGGCACCGCTCGCTGCCTTTGCACGCTGCAACTCTGCAGCAGTTGGTGCAGCTGAAATGTGATGTGATCTGCACTGAGGCGTCTCTCAACACGACGCCTCATTCCGCGTCCCTCCTGCCATCGCTCTTGCTTCCTGCCTCCTCACGTCCACAGGGATCTCACAAACGAGCAGCTGGTGGGGCCCGTCCCGTCCCTTGCAAGTCTCTCCAGGCTCACTCTCCTGTACGTGCCCTGCCTCCGCACACACGACGCACCGGAGCCATGCATGCCGCGGCCGTGGCCTTGTCCCCTCCTGCTTGCCCTTGTCCCCCTTCCCTTGTCCCCGGCCCTTGGCCCCCCGCCCTTGGCCCCCCGCCCCTATCCCCTTCCCTGTGTCCCCGTGCCCTTGTCTCCCTGCCCCTGTCCCCCTGCCCTTGTCCCACTGCGCTGCTTCTCTTCTCTGCCGCCAAAGACTGCTTTCGCTCTTGCTTTCTCCTTTCTCAAGGACTTGATGTTTCGCTCGACCGCTCCTCTGCACGTGCTGCATGGCTGACTGCATGTGCTGCATGTCCTCAGAGCTATCGGAACAGACGGCAGCCAGCTGACTGGCACCTACGAGGGACTGGCCTGGCTCTCCTCCCTCTCCAACCTGCAAGCGCTGTAGGTCCTTCACACTGGCACGCCCTGTTCCCAGTTCACACACGCCCTGATAACGGTACCACTCTGCATGGAATTGGCACTCCATTTCGTCTCTAAGCCATGCGGCCCTCATTGCTGCGCGGCGCGCCATGCCACATCGCTCCAGAAACTCGTGCACAAGCCGCGTGTCTTGTCATGTCCCACCCTCTGCCCACCCCATGGTAGGGTTGAGCACGGGCCGGGCCGGGCCTGGCCCGGGTCGGGCTAGGCCGGGCCAGGCAAAAATCCGGGCCGGGCCAGGCCCGGCCCGACCCGGGCCGAATGATCAAGACCCTGGCCCGAGCCCGCCCATTTTGTACTCGGGCCAGGGTGGCCCGACCCGGGCCAAGCAAGGCCCGACCCGGGCCGGGCCCGGGTCGGCCCGGGTGCACTTTCGATAGAGTCACACATGATTTTCGAAAACGGAATGCCTGAAATCATAACCTAATCTAAGCTAAAACGCACTATTTCGCCACCCTTTCATAGAACCGTTACTTTAAAACGGTTAACTATCACTAACTACTGAGAGATAGAGTATAAGTTAGAAAAACGGGCTAGTTGAGATCTAAATACATGGCGAGAAGCTAGGGGTAAGCTTGCGTTAGAGCTTGCGCAAACTGTCGCGCAGCTCAAATTTGACCCCCGCGACATTTGCTGGGGTGCAGTCAAATCCCCGCGTGATTGAGATTTGACGAAATTGACTCAAATCTCAAATTATGCCAACAAAACACAACAGAAACCGGATTTCACCGCACTGAATCTAGAATTTCCAACCAATTCATCAATTTCCAACCCAGGTCGACTAGATCTGGCCGCATTTGTTGGCCTGGGATCTAGTCGACAGCATATCATCTCTTAGGGTTTACTCGACCAGCACATTATTAGCTTATAAGTAGAGTTCACTAAGCGACTTGTCGCAAGGGGAATAGGCGGGCCAGAACAGCCCGACCCGGGCCGCGATTCGACCCGGGCTGGCCCGGCCCGGCCCAAAAATGTCGGGCCGATGTCGGGCTACCTACGGCCCGGCGGGCCGGGCCGGCCCGGTCCGCCACGGGCGGAACCCCAAAATCTGAGGCCCGGCCCGTGGCAATTCCGGGCCGGCCCGACGCGGGCCGGGCCCAGCCCGGAATTATGCTCATGCCTACCCCATGGCTTCTCGCACGTGCCACAACCCTCCCACCACCACCAACCACCAGGAATCTGTTTGGCTTGGTGGAATTCACAGGAAGCTTGTCCTCTATGCACGTGTTCTCTCACCTGGAGAATCTTCAAAGCCTGTAAGCTCGATTCCAGTGTGCCGGGAGTCAGTGCTGCCTTGATGCTTCAACTTGTGTAGCTCATAATCTCAGTCAGTGTGTGTGATGTGAACTGACTGTGTGGCCGCCTCTCATTGTGTCTTTTCTTGGTAGCGATGGCTCTTCTCCATGTGTGTGCTTGTGCGCAGGACACTAAAATCGCTCACCAATGCCACGGGGGAGATACCCCGGGAGATCCAATACCTCACGGCCCTCACTGCACTGTAAGCTGCACACGGGTGTAAGTACGAGATGATCAGATGGAACACGCTTGGTCACGTGCTCGAGCAGGTTTTTGCTGACTGCTTGTCTGGAACGAGATCAGCCCTCTGCTATGCCCTTACCCATGTGCCATCCATCTCCTTGCGTTCTCCCCTGCAGTGATTTGTCGTATCTTCGGGCGGTGGAGTTCCCTGCCTGGGTGACTCACCTCTCCACTCTTCAATATCTGTGAGCCATTGCCATTGCCACACACCTACCTCCCTTGCTGCAGCATTTATGATGCATGCACCCTAACACTATGCATGTCACGTCCGTGGCTTTGCCTAGTCTGAGTCTGGAAAGTCTTGCGGATTTTTAAGGCGCCTCAAAAACTGCTCCTGCATTTATGATGCATGCACCCTAACGATGCATGTCACGGCCGTGGCCTTGCCTTGTCTGGGTCTGGAAAGTCTTGCGGGTGTGCCCTTGTCCCTCTGCCCTTGTCCCTCTGCCCTTGTCCCTTTGCCCTTGTCCCTCTGCCCTTGTCCCCTTGCTCTTGTCCCTCTGCCCTTGTCCCCCTGCCCTTGTCCCTCTGCCCTTGTCCCCCTGCCCTTGTCCCCCTGCCCTTGTCCCCCTGCCCTTGTCCCCCTGTCCTTGTCCCCCTGCCCTTGTCCCCCTGTCCTTGTCCCCCTGCCCTTGTCCCCCTGCCCTTGTCCCCCTGTCCTTGTCCCCCTGTCCTTGTCCCCCTGCCCTTGTCCCCCTGCCCTTGTCCCCCTACCCTTGTCCCCCTGCCCTTGTCCCCCTGTTTTTGTCCCCCTGCCCTTGCCCCCCTGCCCTTGTCCCCCTGCCCTTGTCCCCCTGCCCTTGTCCCCCTACCCTTGTCCCCCTGCCCTTGTCCCCCTGTCCTTGTCCCCCTGCCCTTGCCCCCCTGCCCTTGTCCCCCTACCCTTGTCCCCCTACCCTTGTCCCCCTGCCCTTGTCCCCCTGTTTTTGTCCCCCTGCCCTTGCCCCCCTGCCCTTGTCCCCCTGCCCTTGTCCCCCTACGGTAGGGATGAGCAAAAAAACGAACACCTGTTCGGTTCGCCTCGAACAGGTTATTTTTTTTGGCTTAAATCGTTCGCCGAACAGTGTTCGAGGTTCGCCCGAACACGTTCGTGTTCGGGCCGCTGCTGCAATTTGCCCCTAGACGAACACGAACGTGTTCGAGGTTCGCCCGAACACTCCTTTATAGGCGAACGGCGAACACCTGTTTTTGCTTAAGGTGTTCGCCGAACCGAACAGTGCTCGGTTCGCCGATCAGGGGTGTTCGTGCATGGGCGAACACGAACACGTTCGTGTTCGCCCTTTGCTCATCCCTACCCCTACCCTTGTCCCCCTGCCCTTGTCCCCCTGTCCTTGTCCCCCTGCCCTTGCCCCCCTGCCCTTGTCCCCCTGCCCTTGTCCCCCTGCCCTTGCCCCCCTGCCCTTCTCCCCCCGCCCATGCATGCAGCAACGTGAACGCGGACGAGCCGCGGCGGCAGGGCTTGTTGACGGATGACATGTCGCACCTCACAGCGCTCACTTCCCTGTAAGTGCAGTGCAGCGCGCAAAACTCAAAAAAACCTTCAGTCACAATACATGAAACCAAGGGGCCAAGAAGCTCGTGTTTGAGTGTGAGTGAGAATGGCGCGGCCTTTTTCTGCAGCTGCTGCCAGGAAGTTGGAGAGGCCACAGGTACTGCCCTTCTCCTGCGGGCAGGTGGATGCTTCGGCTTCACCTGGTCCTCAGCACAGGCCACTCCTCTGGCTATAGGTCACTCGCTCTCAGCTCTGCCTTCAGATGAGTCCGTAGAGCCGAGTGGTCCTTACCCAGAGCTAGTGGGCTGCCTCATGTACCTGATGACTTGCACTCGTCCTGACCTTGCGTACCCTCTTGGCCTTCTGGCTCGCTACGTGGCTCCTGGTCGGCACCGAAAGGTGCACTGGGATGCTGCGAAGAGGGTACTGCGCTACTTGTGCAGTACATCGGGCATGGGGCTCGTGCTTGGAGGACGGCGAGAGGTGGTCCTCACTGGGCACTCAGACGCTTCTTGGGTTGACGACCAGGCTACGCAGCGGTCGTCACAGGGTTACACTTTCAGCCTTGGCTCTGGTTCTGTTTCTTGGCGTTCTACTCGCTCGTCTTCTGTTCTCAGCTCCAGTTGTGAGGCTGAGATCTACGCCACCGCCCCTGCGTCGGACAGCACGTTCCTTCCTGCCACTCCTGCACAAGCCCCTCCCTCCCTCTTGTGTTATCCTTGTGCTGTGTGTGTACCTTGTGCCTGGTGGCACGCACTGCACGGCAGATCCCTCAAAGGCAACAACCTGGACGGCTACCTGCCTAAGAGCTTCTCCTCGCTCCTCAACCTGCAGTACCTGTGAGCCACTCCACTGCCGCCTAGACAGACATGACCAACGGCCGAACACGAACATGTTCCTCTCAAACACTTTCAAACACCCGTCCAACTCGTACCAAACATGTTCGGTTCGAGTCAAACACTTTTTCCAAAAAGTGTTGTTCGACTGTTCGAGTCGAACACTTATTCCCATGGGGTCAAAGAGTTTAGTGTTCGACCTGAGCGTGTTTAGTGTCCAGATCCCTCAAAACGTGTTCGCTTTGAGCAGTCCTCCCCTCCCTTCCACAGCCCCTATCCCCCCCCTCCACAGCCCCTCCCCTCCCCTCCACAGCCCCTCCCTCCCCCTCCACAGCCCCTCCCTCCCCCTCCACAGCCCCATCCCCACCCTCCACGTCCCTCCAACCCCCCTTCACAGCCACCTCAATGCTCTCCTCCTCGAGCCTTTCCCTCCCCTCTCCAGTGCTATTGCGCTTCAATCTCGATCCAAACATGTAAAAAATTCGACCATATTCGACCCAAACACAACTGTTCGGTCCAACATTGTTTCCCCAACACAACTGTTCGAACTGACTGCAACTGTTCGGTCCAACATTTTTTGCCCAAAAGACAATCAACTGTTCGAGTCGAACCGAACAGGGGTCCTCCCATTTGCTCGTGCCTACCACTGCCTGCAGTACCATGCGGCCGTGCCCCCATGCCTGTCATCCTGCCATGGCCCCATCCCATGCTGTCATCCTGCCATGCCCCCATCGCATGCTGTCATGTCATCCTTCTGTGGTGCTCCTTCCTTGCCAATCCGTTTAGCTGTCACCTAGTGACTGCCGATCTCGTCAACCCCACCACTTACCTGCGTTTGTAGATTTGGAGCTCCTCCCTCCCTTGTTGCAGGGCGTTGAATTACAACCATCTTCAAGGCACCATCCCCGCCACCCTCTCTGCCCTAACAGCCCTCACTGCAATGTAAGTCCCCAGCATGCACGCCCCCCATGCACATGTAAGTCCCCAGCTTCACCAATGCAATGTAAGTCCCCCCAGCCCTCACTGCAATGTAAGTCCCCAGCTTCACCAATGCACATTCCCATCCCATCATGCACGCCGCTGTGCTCCCCCCGACCCCCAGTCTCGAATGGTCCTTGCTCACCCCTGTCTCGCCCCCTTGGTCATGGACTGCAATGCTGCTCTTTTGAGTCGACTCAAAAGTCACCTTGAGTCGACTCAAAAGTCACCTTGAGTCGACTCAAAAGTCACCTTGAGTCGACTCAAAAGTCACCTTGAGTCGACTCAAAAGTCACCTTGAGTCGACTCAAAAGTCACCTTGAGTCGACTCAAAAGTCACCTTGAGTCGACTCAAAAGTCACCTTGAGTCGACTCAAAAGTCACCTTGAGTCGACTCAAAAGTCACCTTGAGTCGACTCAAAAGTCACCTTGAGTCGACTCAAAAGTCACCTTGAGTCGACTCAAAAGTCACCTTGAGTCGACTCAAAAGTCACCTTGAGTCGACTCAAAAGTCACCTTGAGTCGACTCAAAAGTCACCTTGAGTCGACTCAAAATTCGCCCCTTTGGTCATGGACTGCAATGCTGCTCTTTCTGCCCCCTCCCTCCCTCCCTCTGCAGAGATCTCTCATTCAACTCTCTGTCTGGTTCCATCCCCCCTGTCTTCACCACCAACATCCAAAGCATGTATGTCTCGCAACCCCTTACTTCAAGCTCCACCCTCCACACCCACAACACACTCTCCTGTATCCTCTTCGTCCTCTGTAAACCCTCATGCTCACTCCCCTCTGTCTCTCAAACAGTCCTTATTAGTTGAAATGATTGGTACATCTCTCGAATTAGCATGCCATAATAACAACTACAACGTAACAACCCAACTGGGCGAGTGTGATGTATGCCCGTCCTACGGCAGTTTGGCCACTGGCTCTAGCACCGAGAAACAATTTCCTGGGCTCGAAGCGTTGGTTTCTCCACCAACTGGTTGATTCTCAACCTGCACCGCAAAGTTATTAGAATCAATAATATATTTAAGTTAATAAACTTCCACAATGCACCACCCAAAACCAATCCGTTATCTCGAACGTCCCCGCTATGCTTCTGAACTGCCGCATCTACTACGCTAAACCTATTCGCGGCGCTAAAGGTATTGTCACCATATTAATTATATCGAGGGGTCACCTCTCCTTCCTATCCAGAGCACTAGGCTACAACGCCTTTAGTGGCCCCATCCCGCCTCACCTGGCACTGCCCCAACTCTCTACCCTGTAAGCCCAGCCCCTCTCTTCCCTACTTCCTTGCACTCATTATCTCCACCGCATAAACCTGTTGGCTTGCTCTCTGCCCTTTGCTTGCTACATTTCTCTGCCTGATTCCATCCGCCCATATCTGAACCCTTGCCTCTCCATGCCGCAACTCTCTCCGCGTGCCCTGCTGGATGGCCCACCCGTGCCTTCAGGACGCTGTCCAGCAATGAGTTCACGGGCGCCATTCCCACCACCTTCACCCGCCTCACTGCCCTGAGTGTGCTGTACGCCTCACTGCCATGAATGTGCTGTACGCCTCACTGCCATGAATGTGCTGTACGCCTCACTGCCATGAATGTGCTGTACGCCTCACTGCCATGAGTGTGCTGTACGCCTCACTGCCATGAATGTGCTGTACGCCTCACTGCCATGAATGTGCTGTACGCCTCACTGCCATGAATGTGCTGTACGCCTCACTGCCATGAATGTGCTGTACGCCTCACTGCCATGAATGTGCTGTACGCCTCACTGCCATGAGTGTGCTGTACGCCTCACTGCCATGAGTGTGCTGTACGCCTCACTGCCATGAATGTGCTGTACGCCTCACTGCCATGAGTGTGCTGTACGCCTCACTGCCATGAATGTGCTGTACGCCTCACCGCCCTCGACTTTGTTTGCTTATTGCCGTCCCTTTGCCACCGAAGGTTCTTGCCAAGCCTTACCTTTGCTCCTTGCATGCATCCCATGTGCCTGCACCCCTACGTGCCTGCACCCCTACGTGCCTGCACCCCACGTGCCTTCACCCCACATGCCTGCACCCCAGGGGCGCGTTCAACAACAGCCTGAGCGGAGGCCTGGACGTGGTGGCTCAAATGACATGGCTCACTGGCATGTGAGCGCCTTGCCTCCTACCAGCCTCACCTTCCTCATCGTTGCCCCTTCCTTGCTCGGTCTCCCCTTTCCTCCTTCATGGGTCTCCCCTTTCCTCCTTGCTCGGTCTCCCCTTCCCTCCTTGCTCGGACTCCCCTTCTCTCCTTTCTCTATCTCCCTTCCCTCCTTGCTCGGTCTCCCCTTCCCTCCCTCACATCGCCTGCTCCCTGCAAGTGGCAACACCTGAGCCCCTCTCTCAAATGTGTGCCCTGCAGAAGCCTCCACACCAACAGCTTCTCCGGGGTGCTTCCAGCAGCCCTCTCTGCTATCACAGGGCTCAAGTTCATGTCAGTCGACTCCATCCACCCCTCACTCCCTCACCCGCCCACTCACCTTCTCCATGCAGCAACAATTGCTTTCCGCATACCTACACGCTTGTGGTGGCGTCATGTGCTTGGGGCATGCAACTAGGAAACGTGCACATGTGTTTGCACGCATGTGTGTCCCAAGTTGTTCCTGGCCGGTTCATTAGGGCCCTCGAACGTGTCTCGCGCATGCTCCAACAAATGTGTGTGTGTGTGTGTGTGTGTGTGTGTGTGTGTGTGTGTGTGTGTGTGCGTGCGTGCGTGCGTGCGTGCGTGTGTGTGTGTGTGTGTCTGTGTGTGTGTGTGTGTGTGTGTGTGTGTGTGTGTGCATGCGTGCGTGCGTGTGTTGTGTGCACATTTTTGCATCCATCTCGTCCTCTTCTCCCACCACATGTGCCTTGAGCGTGCATCAGAACCATCGCTAACAACCACTTCACGGGAGAATTTCCCCACCCTCTTCTGCACACCCACCACCTTGCTGTACTGTGAGTGAGACACGCTCTTACAGATGTGGACAAAGTTTGGTTGCAGTTGAATTAACATGGAAAATCGCTTCTATACATGACAAATTTGCAACGCAAACCTTCTCTTCTGGTGCCACTACTGAAGGCGGTTGTCACGTCGCAGCCTCTCACACGGTGATGGCAATGGCAATGGCAATGGCAATGGCAATGGCAATGGGCAATGGCAATGGCAGGGATGTGAGCAACAACAGCTTCTCTGGGTCCATCCCCCTGCAATTGACCGAGCTACTGGAGCTCATAGACATGTGCGTGGTGCCCCAAGGATATCACTTTCTCCGTACGCCTGCTCTTACGTCATAAAGCGTATGCCACTTGAGTCTTGACAACAGGATTCCCATGCGCTTTTGTCAGCCGATCCACATAGCCAAGCCTATTCCTCGTTCGCGCCCAGCCTATACGTTCTCTTGTTTGTTCACTCTTTTGTGTGTGCTTCTCATTCTGCGTATATTCAATTCAATGGAGTGGTGCAGTTCTTGAATTTCCCCGATGGGCTCAACTGTTGCACTCTGTCTTCGCTTCTGAGTGACTTGGCCAGCAATCTCAATGACAACAACTTTTATGGATCAATCCCGTCTGGCCTCTTCCGCCTCCCCATGCTTTACTCATTGTGAGTAGCTTCATGGCGCCATTGCTTGCACCTGCTGCAGTACAGATTGTGTTAGAAGAAAGGCTAATGTGAGGTTCGTGAATCAACTACATATCAGTTGAGATTCTAACTAGTTGAACTGATCCAATACGTCCTCCTGCTGGCAAATACAGAAACCTGATCCTGACACCAGTTGAATATCCTGCAGCAGAGGTCCAACTTGTGTTGTTGCTGCTCGTTTCCTATGAGACCTCCTTGCATCTCATCACTCTTCACCTTTGCATTCGCAATCTCAGCTTCCAGTCCAGCAGTGGCTCATAGTGCATGCATCGAATGCAACCGCCACTTCCCCCTGTCTCCCCTCCTTCCCAACGCAGGCAAGTGGCAAACAACTCTCTTTCCGGGAACCTTCCAGTTGCGCTTAGGGCCTCCTCCACACTTGCCACGCTGTAAGCAGTGCCACCACTCGCTGTGCTGCCACCACTCGCTGTGCTGCCACCACTCGCTGTGCTGCCACCACTCGCTGTGCTGTCATCATCGTTGCCACCAATCTCCGTGCTGATTTTCCCTGGAGTGGAGTTTGCCTACCTTTCGTTGCACCGTGTGCAGTAGCCTCGCAGGAAACGGCTTCGCAGGCTCCCTACCAGACTTCTCGCGGTGGAAGGGCAGCTTTCAAACGCTGTAAGCTTCTTCCTCTCCCTCCCGCCCCCTCCAACCTGCCTCGCCTTTCTTCCCCCACTCTTTCTTCTTCCTGCCTCAATCCCCTCTGCTTTTCTTGACAAATCTGCGTTTCTCCTCAGTGCCATCTTTGTAATCACCAGCTTGTGTCTTGCCTTGCCTCAATCACCTCTCTTTGGTTTGTGGGTGCCATGCCCCATGAGAGCTGTTTGTGGTGCCTGCCTCATGCAGGGCGCTGAGCAACAACAACTTCACAGGGACCATTCCTGACTCCATCTCCACGCTTTCCACTCTGCAGGCCATGTGAGCCTCGTCTACTGTTGCGCCCTCACCACATGCCCCTCACCACATGCCCCTCACAATATTCCAACCTGCATCTGGAGTGTCGTCTTCATACCCAGAGTAGTTCAGGGAGAAAGCTGGCACGGCCAGGCTAGCAACCGGTGCAGCAGCCGGTGCCTCATGCGCTCTTTGCTTGCCATGCCTCATGCGCTCTTTGCTTGCCATGCCTCATGCGCTTTGCTTGCCTTGCCTCATGTGCTCTGCCCTTGTCATGTCTCTGCAGCATCCTGGACAACAACCAACTGACGGGGACCATTCCAGCTACCATCTTCAATATGACGAACCTACAATCTCTGTGAGACTCTAGTGCCCATGTATTGATGAATGTTCTGTTTTAGGACAAACCTTTGCACCTCACTTCCTCTACTATGACCACACTTCTTTCCTGTGTCATCCTGTGCTGCTCTCCCATATGCTGCTCTTGCTCACAGCAGTCGCTCCCCTCCATACTTCCCTCCATGCTCTGAAGCTATCTGGCCAACAACCGCCTGACTGGCAGTCTGCTGTCTGCCATCAGTCGCTTGGAGAAGCTCCAACAGATGTGAGAGCACTTCCTGCCTGCACTTCCTGCCTGCCTTTCCTGCTTGCCCTTCCTGCATGCCCTCCCTGCATGCCCTCCCTGCATGCCCTCCCTGCATGCCCTCCCTGCATGCCCTCCCTGCATGCCCTCCCTGCATGCCCTCCCTGCATGCCCTCCCTGCATGCCCTCCCTGCATGCCCTCCTTGCATGCTCTCCCTGCTTGCACTGCCCTCCCAAGCTATGTTGAGAAAGACGCTCTGGCGTTGCAGTGTCCAGCGTCCCGACGCTTGCGTCCTGCCCCTTACTTCTGCCCCTGCTTCGTCTGCCCCTTACTTCTGCCCCTGCTTCGTCTGCCCTTACTTCTGCCCCTGCTTCGTCTGCCCTTACTTCTGCCCCTGCTTCGTCTGCCCTTACTTCTGCCCCTGTTTCGTCTGCCCTTACTTCTGCCCCTGCTTCTGCCCCTGCTTCTGCCCCTGTTTCTGCCCCTGTTTCTGCCCCCACCTGTCCACCCTAGCTGGCTGGACAACAACAGCATCGAGGGCCCTCTGCCATCTGCCATCTGCTCGCTGCCCTGGCTGTGGCGCATGTGAGTGGCTGTGGCGCATGTGAGTGGCTGTGGCGCATGTGAGTGGCTGTGGCGCATGTGAGTGGCTGGCCACACAAGGCACTTAGCAAGACTGCCACGCAAAGCAAGTATATCATGACGTACCCAAGCAAGTAGCGTGCCCATCTATCCAGGTGGTGCAAGTCTGTGCCACAGCTTATTGTGTCTCTACTTATCTTGCTTATCTTTGCTTACCTTGTCTTCTTGCGTTGTCTGTTTTTTGTTCTATGCGTCTCCGTATGGTGCGACCTGTGGTGCTTCATGCATGCCATGGCATGGCATGGGTTGGGTTGTGCTGGCAGCATGGTGAGCAACAACCATCTCTACGGGCCTCTGCCAGACTGTCTCTTCGACAAGTGCATCAACCAGATGTGAGCCCACCTCCTTACTTCATCCATCCCGTCCCCTCAACCAAAGGGTGCTGCGAGACAAGCTGCTCACTGCTGTCAGTGCGATCAGGTGCAAAGAGCGGTTAGAGGCATGCATTGATTGAACGCGCTGCTCACCGTCAGGTGGGCCTCTCAGCTTGCTCTAGCGAGCCATTCTTTCTAGCCCTCACGATGATGGCTGGCTGACTGACGTCGAGGCACTCGTCAACTTGGCTCACGGATCGAAGAGCCAAGCACAGCACCAACCCCTGTCACTCCCCCTTCCCCCCCCCCCCCCCCCCCACCCCCCCCCTTCCGCCTGCTGCTCCCCGCAGCGATGTGAGCAACAACAGCCTGTACGGGCGCATCAGCCACAACTTCAACAGCATGGTGGCAGACGGCGACGCGCTCATCAACCTCGCACACAACTTCTTCTATGGCGACGCCGTGCTCTTTGCCGCGGGCTGCCAGGTGTGCCCCGAGGAGATCTCCCAGCGCAACCAGCTGCAGCTGGGAGACAGCAGCGTGCACGTGGCAGGGAAGTGTGGCGACGCAGCCTTCGGAGGCCAGCGAGACTACTCGGTGGCGGGGGCAGGCAAGGGCGCGAAGGGGAGTCTCGCGGGCAACTGTCTGGCCCTCAAACGGGATGTCAAGTGCCCGTCCAACGCCACCCAGCGCAGCACGGCAGCCTGCCAGGCGTTCTGCAGCATCACTGACAACGGCCCATGTGATGGCCGTGGGGAGTGTGTGCCGCCTGCTCCAGACGCCCCTGCCACCTTCACATGCATGTGCGACGCCGGATACTCCTCCGTGGACCTAGGCAACGGCTCCACATGCGCCATCACTGCTGGTGAGGCACCAATCTGGAGATTGGATCCCATGCTGCGCTCACATCCCCCACTGCTGCGTTGAGATCGCTTTTGAGAATTCTCAAAAGCACTCACTGTTAGAACTTGAGCTTTGCATCCATGCATTAGTAATGAGCTCAAGGCTCCTTAAGTACATTGGAAATGGGCAAGCTGGGGGCGGGGAGAGAATCAGGGGCAATCCTAGGGAATTGGGGGTAATCCCAAGGCAATCTCCAATTGGTGGGTTGGAGATTGCTTGGAGATCACATTTGGGTTTGGTTGGGATGTGGGTGTACACCCAACCAAACACAAAGTGCAAACTACACTAAACTAGGATATAAAAAAGTACAAGTACAAATGTGAGATTGAGGGCTAACATTAACACCTCCCCATAGGCGGAAATCGAACTCATGGCAGAGGTGGAGCGCAGAGCCCCATGGCGCCTAGAAAGCGATGGTGAAGAACCCTCCCAAGGGGCTTGGTGAACAGAACAGCCAAGTTGCAGTCAGAAGCCACATACTCTGTCAACAGGAGTTGTGTGTTGGCCCCGTCCTCGCTTGGGCGGAGCCGACTTCGTGGTCGGGTGTAGGAGTGCAGCCGACCTGCAGCAGTGGGCGAGCTGGTCAACGAGGAAGTCGACCTGCACGGGTGCCACTGCATGGGCGCCGACTTCAGGATGGCGCCGACTTCAGGGAGGTCGACCTGGGAAGTCGACCTGCGGAGGGCGTCGACTTGGTGACGCCAACTTGGGGCAGCCGACTTGGGTGGTCGGCTGACAGGACTGCTGGTCGACCTGGTGGTTGGTCGACCAGGCCTGCTGGTCGACTTGGTGGTTGGTCGACCAGGCGTGTCGTCGACCTGGTGGTCGACCGAACATGGTGGTCGACGAAGGAGGGGCCGACGTCGACCTCGACAGAGGGATTCAGGACGTCGAGCAGCCGAGCAGAGAGACTTGGTGACGCCGACTTCGGGTAGCCGACTTTGTGGTCGGCTGACAGCTGTGCTGGTCGACTAGGAGTGACGTCGACTAGGGGTAGTGGTCGACTTGGTGAGGTCGACTGGAGGTGGCCGTCGACTTGGGAGGTCGACGGGCACATACAGGAGCAGCTGGTCGACGTGGTTGCCTGGTCGACCAGGTTACCTGGGTGACGAGGTTTGCGGAAGAGTGTGACGGTCGCCCTGGTGGTTTAGGCGAGGACGACCTCAGTGGTGGTATCCCGAGGTCGACGTGGCTGATCAGATGCACTGCACGCCAATCATCTGCGTCCACCTGCGAAGCGGGTGCGCTGCTGTCTTGCGGGAGCAACGTTGGCACGCCGTCAACCTGCGACACTGACACGCCGTCGACTTGCAGCATTGGCAAGCCGCGACTCTGCACTGCTGGAGCGCGGTCGACCAAGTCGTGCTGGCACGCGGTCGACCGTGCTGCGCTGGCAGTAGACTTGCTTGCATGCTAGCTCTGATGTAGTCTAGTCTTGCCAACTTCATTGTACCATTGTTGTCAATCTTTCTTAGTGAAACTCTTGTCAACTTTCTCTGTGAACTAGCAAATAGTATGAGCGCTTGGAAACGACTAAAGGACAAGTGAACGTAGAGATCAAACGAGCATACGTGCCTAGCCCGTAGTCTAGCTCCCGTTGTAGTAGTTATCTCCAGATACTCCACATTGAGCTGCTCTCGCTGGACAAGGTCACGGATGAAGACGTGCCGAAGTTCGATGTGTTTGGCAATTGCGAGTGTGATATACGGGATCCTATGAGAGGTGGATGGTGCTTCTGTTGTCACACCAGAGGGAGGGAGTGGGCTGAGAGTAGCCAAGCTCCTGGAGTAGGAAGGTGAGCGAGCGGGCCTCCTAAGCCGCCATGGTGCCAGCGTAGAGCTCTGCCTCACAGGAGGAGAGGGAGACGGCAGACGACTGGGTGGAGCGCCAACTGACAATTCCGCTCCCAAGGGTGAAGCTGTAGCCTTGGGAGGAGTGACGGTCGGTCTGGTCATCAGCCCAGGAGGAGTCTGTGTACCATTCCAGTCGAGGAGGAGAAACCCCACCAAGGGTGAGGACATGGGACTAGGTTCCCTGCTAAGTTGGATATTACACTTACGTTTACGTACGTTTTACGTTTACGTTTACGTACGTTTTACGTTACGTATCAAGGTTCCAGAATGAGTTTACGTTTCCGGGCAGAGTAGTTTTTTTTCTGCTGCCCGGATCATAAAATTTTCCCTGGGATACAAAGTTGGCATTAACATGAAAATGTTATGTTATGGCCCGAAATTACAATCTCCAGCGAGAAATTTTGTCGCAACCATTGTTTGTATCAGCGCGTCACTTTGTGACGCGTTACTTTTGCTTGGTGCACAAGATCACTTCGGGCTTTCCCTCCAAATTCAAAATCGTGAGTCAACGTACCCCTCCCCCTTCCCCCCCCCCCTCAGTGTCATCACTTCGACCTCCCCACCTGTCCTTATGTTCCAGCCCCGTGACTTACGTAGATCTCCGATCTAGATCCTCTAACCTAGATCCTAGAATTCCTAAGTACGACCTAAGTTAAGATCTAAACGATGGTGTTGCGAATCTAAATAGCGAGGTAGATAGTCACTAAATATAGCATAACGGTTATGAAAGAACCGTCAATCCTGAAAATAGCATTTCGTACGCAGCTGTATGTGCTGCCCTGAGCGGTTGTGCCGCAATGATGCTCTCTTCTCCAGGGCCAATTTACAGAACGTTTTTTTTTCCTGCCGGATTTTTTTTTCCTGCCCGGACCTAAGTTCCGCGTATTTACGCGTACGTAAACGTAAACGTAATGTTACGCGTAACATTACGTTTACGTAGGTCCAGGGACGTACGGACCCATCTTAGGTTCCTTGCAGATAGCGCAGCACCCGCCTTGCCTCTTTCCAGTGAAGATCAGTGAAGCATCCAGGAGCCACATAGCAAGAGAGGACACTGACAGGGTATGCCAAGTCAGGCCGGGTGCACATCATGGCGTACATGAGGGACCAAACAAGCTCTGAGTATTGCTTTGTGCAGGCCTCTGGTGTGGGGATAGCAGGAGCGGTGAGGAGGTGCTGTAGTGGCAATGGGTTGGTGATGGGTGTGCACAACTCCATCTTAAAGCGCTTGAGCACATTGTTGATGTAGAACTCCTGGGAGAGTGAGATGGTGCGAGCCTGACGATCACGAGTGATCTCCATCCCCAGGTAGTGTTTGAGGTCACCGAGGTTTTTCATCAAGAGGGCTTTGCCAAGGGCTGCCTGGACAGAGGTCATCTGGGCCGAGTCCTTGGCAACGAGGATGAAATCATCTACGTAGACAAGGACGTAGAATGGCTCAGAGTGACGGCGAATGAAGAGAGTCGGGTCAGTAGATGGTGGGTGAAAGTCCAAGGAGAGAAGGACTTGTTTCACTTTGTTGTGTCATTCACGAGGGGCTTGCTTGAGGCCGTAGACAGGGCGATTCAGCTTCCAGACAGTGTTGAGAGGGAACTCTCCTGGAAACCCTTCAGGTCGGTCCATAAACACAGTCTCCTTGAGGTGTCCTTGCAGGAATGTTGCAGGAATGTTGATCTCAAAGTCGTCTCGTGCGGCTACATCCAAGAGCGTGCGAATTGTGGGTGGTTTGGATGTGGGAGAGAAGGTTTTGAAGAAGTCAAAGTACTGCTGTTGAGTCAATCCCTTGGCCAGCGTGCTTTGAACACTGGTGCCTCGTCCGGAAGCTGCTTTACTCGAAACAGCCATTTGCCACCAATGGTGTTAACTCCTGGAGGTGGAGTTTTGTTGTCAAAGGAGTGGTTGCGGATGAAGGCTTCACATCCAGCTTCCATGGCAGCGCGCCACTCGGCAGCATGGGGACCCGAGAGAGCCTCTTGAACGGTGAGAGGGATAGGAATGGTCAGGTTCTCCGAGAAGTTGAGTGAGGGGGATTCAGTGATATCGGGGAAGATGTTCAAAAGCTGAGGAAGGGCAGCGTAGATCACATAGCTCCTCATGCCTGTCTTCCAGAAGAGTAGAGGGCACTTCCCCCCCCAGCAGGAGGAGTCGGAGTGATCACTGAGCATCGAATGGCAAGTGCCAGTGGAGGAGCAGCCCCATGCGACCGAATGCCATGAGCCACCGGAGAAGAGGGTGGAGCAGGCGTTCCTGGAGGGGACGGCTTAGGGGGCTTGGGGGGAGGGATCGGCCGTCGTTGGTACGTGATTACTTTGCTCGGCTGTGGGAGAGCAGGTTCATGAGTGGAGGAGGGAACCGGGGGAGGGGGGGGGGGGGGGTTCGATCGTCGATGGTATGTGATTGGTTCGCTTGGTGGTGGGGGCGCAGTTGGCAGATTGGGAGAAGGCGGGGATGGAGGAGCATCTGCCGAGGACACCGGAGAGGTCGGGTCAGAGACCTCAGACGGGGATGGTGCGATGGCAGGAGAAGCAGGAGGTGAGGGGGCTGGTGCAAGTGGAGGTTCAGAAGGTGCATCAAAGTTAGCCCATACAAGAGAGGGTGGTCCGGAGGGGGGATCATCCCCCAAGGTGGTGTAGAAGGGGCGAGTCTCATCAAAGACGACATCTCGGCTCCGAACGAGTTGTTGAGTGGAGGGGTTGAGGAAATGGTAGTCAGGGGAGTCAGCATTATGCCCAAGGTATATGCACGTTTGAGTTTTGGGACCAAGCTTGCCACCTTACCGCCGTTGAGCCTGGGGGTTGAGGAGTACATAGGCGGTGCATCCCCAAATGCGAAGGGGGCGAGCAGTGGGTGTTTTCCCGAGCCAGAGTGTGGTGGGAGTGGTGTCGGGAAGATGCGGGTGGGGATAGAGGTTGTGGTGGAGGGCGGCATGATAGAAGGCATACCCCCAGAGTGAGAGTGGTGCGTTGGAGTGGCTGAGGAGGCAGCGAGTGATCTGCGTCAGTGTGTGATTGCGGCTTTCTGCTATGCCGTTTTGCTGCGGGCTGTCAGGAAGAGTGAAGTTTTGCAAGATGCCAAGGGAGGAGAAGAAGGCTTTGAGCTTGGCGTTGCAAAAATTCACCACCACCATCCGAATGGAGACGCTTGACCTTGGTGCCAAAGGAGGTATGTGCCTGGTTAACCTATGCCATGATTGCTTCCGGGGCCTCAGCCTTAGTGTAGAGGAGGTGCACAGAGACGTAGCGAGTGTGGTCATCAACTATCAGAAGGAAATAGCGATGGCCACCCCGTGTGGCAACCGGGGCAGGGCCTCAGACGTCCATGTGCACTAGGACCAGTAGGGCTGCTGCCTGGGTGGAGAAAGACGCACGGAGGACGCTGCGTCCTGCGTCTGGATGCAGCGTCTGGACGCACGGACGCGGGGACGCGCGTCCAGACGCAGGACGCACGGCGATTTTTTTTCGGGCTGCTCGAAAAAAAACCCCGATCGCGTAATTGACATTTGCGATTTCGACGCGAATGTCGATATCGCGAAATTTCGACCCCCCCCTTGCCCAAATCGCCATTGAAACGGTTAACTAACACTAAAACTTAAGTTTGAGAACGAGCTAGGTGAGATATAAGTATACGGCAAGAAGCTAGGGGTGAGCTGCTTGCGCTAGAGCTTGCACAAAATGTCGCGCAGCTCAAATTGATTCCCACGACATTTGTCGGGGGGGTCAAATCCCCGCAAGAATTAGATATGATGAAATTGACTCAAATTAGGACAAAACCGCATTTCACCACACTGAATCTAGTATTTCCAACCAGTCTAGCAATTCCCAACCCAGGTCGACCAGATCTGGCCGCATTTGTTGGCCTGAGATATAGTCGACAGCGTAATCAACTCCCAGGGCTTTCTCGACTAGCTTATAAGTAGCAGGCCCATGGAATTTTCGGGCCGGCCCGCCGGGCCGGGCCCAGCCCGCCCCCGTGCTCATCCAGGGCCTATAACAATTTTTTTGCCTGCCCGAAGGGTTTTTTGCCCTGCCCGGGCTTGCGCCTTTTGGTGTGTCTTTCTGGTACTGGTGCTGCGTCCTACGTCTGGACGCAAGCGTCCAGGACGCAGGACGCGTCTTTCTCCACCCAGGCTATTGCTACTGAGGGTGAGGCCGGATGGGGTTATTGGTGCAATCAAGGCACGAGGGAGCGGGTGAGCCAGGTGGTGGAGGAAGTGATGCTGGCAGGCCGAGAAGAAGTTTCTTGGAGGCCATGTCAGCAAGCATGCGGAAGTTTGGGTGCCCGAGCCGATGGTGGTAGAGGATGGTCGGGTTGGAGAAGCTGCGACATGAGCATGGTGTGATAGCAGCCTGTGCCTAGGTGGTTGACACCTGAGGGATAGGTACGCGTAGCGTGTAAAGGCCGTTGTTATTGAGGGTGAAGCGAGCCAAGACCTTGTTGGTGAGTGGATCGATAATGTCGCAATAGTCTTCGTTCTCCGAGAAGATGGTGCGTAACTCCGCCTCCTGAATTTCCGTTTAAGCCACTAGATTGTGGCGTAGTGAAGGCACGCACATGCCAGTGACAGTGCTGGATGGGAAGGCGGGGCTTTGTACTGTGGATGAACCCTTGGCAAGAGTGGTGAAGCTTGAATCAACTCTCTGGAGAGGAATGGGTGTTGCGTAGGGTTTGAAGGAGAGTGTCTCCTTGAGCACAGTGTGAGTGGCTCCGCTGCCGAGTGTGAACTCTATGTATTGTGGTGCTTGTGATGAGCGGATGTAGTGGGAGGTTGCTTCATTAATCATGGCAATGCCACTGAACAACAGGTTGATACGCACATCAGCAGGAGCACTATCACTAGCACTGGTTGGCCTTACGAGGGCGCATCCAGTTTGGCGGCTTCTTGTCTACTCCGTGGATGGCATACCATTCGTCGTCTTTCTTCTTGAAGCACGTGGCGAGGGGGTGGTTAGTGTCACCACTCACTTGTCCCTTGCGGTTGCCAATGAAGGTGCATGGAGGAAAGCGGTGGCGCTGAAAGGGCGCCGAGGCGAGTCCCGATGCGACACTTGCTAGAGGCACAGGAGCACGGAGGGCGTAGGCCTTGCCGAGGAGTCTTTCTCGGGGGAGAGGAGGGCGGAGGATACCTTAGCAAAGGTGAGGTATTCCACCGAGGACGTGAGGAGCATTTTCCTTATGACTTCGTACGCCGAGGTGAGGCCAACAAGAAGGGAGGCTGCAGGAGCTTGTTCGGCGAAGATGATACCTAGCTCCTTGAGCTCGCCATGGATGGTTTGCACCTTGGCGATGTAATCGGCCATACCCGGGTAATCCTCAAGGTGGACTCGAAACATGCTAGTAATGAGGATGGCCACCCCGAACGCCATCTTATTCATGAACTTGTCCTGGAGATGCTTCCAAATGACGTTGGAAGTGGGGTAGTTGTGGAACGTGTTGACAAGTTCGGGAGGAGTGGAGCCGATGAAGACGCTAATAATAGCCGCATCGGCCTTCTCCCACTTGCGATACTTGGCAACAGAGTCATCGTGCTCTTAAGTTGCCACGGCATCGGTTGGATCGGACGGCTCCTTGGGGATGGGGGGTTGTTTTCCCTTGCCATGATTGAGAAGAACGTCCCTGAGGTCAAGTCCACCCACTTCACGACCAAGGAGGAGCTTGTCAACTCCGTAGCTCCATGCCTTGAAGTTGGAGTTAGTGCCGTCGGCTTCAAGGCGGAGTGGGGTGATGGGGTTGGCGAGAGTGGCCGAGGCAAAGGACTTGAGGTTTAGGGTTTCCGAAGGAGAATTTGAAGAACTTCGGGTTTAGGGTTTTCGAAAGAGAATTGTGAGGTTTATGATTTCCGAAGGAGAAAATCCAAGGGACACGAAGAGCGAAAAGCTTTAATGTCGGCCGCTTCGGAATGTCTCGTAGAAGGAAGTTCAAGGCCGATGAAGGTAGGTCAAATCGGCCGATTTCGGTAGCTAACCCTATTCTCGCACACCCCCCCACACACCACCCTCAGCTTCGCTGCTACACAGTCAGCTGCGCGGCTGCACACTGTTCAGCTGCGGAGTGCCGTTGCGGGGCGACAGGCGGCAGCCCGACGAGAAGAAGTGGAGCGAAGACGATTGTCGAAAAAATGCGATTGGTTACGATGCGCTTTCCAGTGAAGTTGCGAAAGTCGTCGAGAAGGAAGGGAGAGTGGCGCCGGAAGATTTCTGGCGAAGGAAGTCGCGAATCACCGGCGACGGGATTGATGGTGGCTACGCCAAAGAAAGCGGGACAAGAACCCGTTGAGATTGGAGAATCATGATACGCGTGTGCGGTTGAATCGCTCTGATACCATGTTAACTTCAGCTTTGAATCCATGCATTCGTAATGAGCTCAAGACTCCTTAAGTACATTGGAAATGGGCAAGCTGGGGGTGGGGAGAGAATCAAGGGCAATCCTAGGGAATTGGGGGTAATCCCATGGCAATCTCCAATTGGTGGGTTGGAGATTGCTTGGAGATCGCATTTAGGTTTGGTTGGGATGTGGGTGTACACCCAACCAAACACAAAGTGCAAACTACACTAAACTAGGATATAAAAAAGTACAAGTACAAATGTGAGATTGAGGGCTAACATTAACACTCACATCTCCCCCTGCTGCTCTTCCTGCCCAAAGCACACATCCAACTCCATCTCCTCCACTCCGCGCCTCCCCCGCCCTCCCTGCTCCCTCCTTGGCAGTGTCTTCACTGTCAACAGGTGCCATCATGGGCATTGCTGTGGGGTGCTTCTCGGGGTTCACTCTGCTCACTGCTGTGCTCGCCTGGCTACTATGGCCCCGTCGACAGAGTAAGACCGCCAACACTGCTCCCATGTCATCCCTCCAGTCTTACATCTCTTTCCTGTTAGCCCTGTTCCAACCCTTCCTGCACTACAACTCACCCTTCCTGCTGGCCCCCCACTTTTGCATTCCTGCTCTGCCCATTTGCTCAAACTCTCCCACGGCCTCCCACCATTCACCCCATCTCATTATGCTCTGTTGGGGCACAGGGAAGTGGGAGGGGCTGGACCTGTGCGAGCAGTTCTCACTGCAGCAGCTGGTGAAGGCCACGGACAACTGGGCGCCTGAGAACTTGCTGGGGAAGGGCGGCTTTGGCACCGTGTATAAGGGGATCTCGCCGCAGGGACAGCTGTGGGCTGTGAAGCGCACCACTGTCATGACCAACGAATTTGAGACGGAGGTCAGCCTTTGCCTTGCTGCCTCTGCACCATTGCTCAATTCTTTCCATTCAGCCACAGCACCGTGGCATACTGAGCTGCCTCTTCTGTAGTGGAAGCACTGTTGAACCCTGCAACTCGCATATTGTGGTGCTGTGCGGTGCATGCAGGTGCGAGCCATGGCATCGCTGCACCACGTGAACCTGGTGCGCCTGCTGGGCTTCTGCCAGGATCTGAACGTGGAGACGGGCAAGCAGGAGCAGATCCTCGTGTACGAGTTTGTGGCCAACCGAGACCTGCACCACCACATTTACAAGACCAAGCGTCAGTAACTCTCGCGCCAAGTCATTAAGTTGCCAGCCATGTGTGCTTGAGCTCACCACATCTACGAGACAAAGACTCAGTAGTCCTCGCACCAAGGCACCAAGTTGCCAGCCCTGTGTGCGGTAGCAGAGAATGTGCAAAGTCGCTAACGCACAAACACGCTTCGTGCCTGCTTCTCATGGTCTCTCTTGCAGACCCTCTCTCGCTGCGGCAGAGGCTGCGCCTGGCGCAAGGAGCAGCGGAGGGCCTGGTTTACCTGCATGGGTTTGCGACGCCCATCATCCACCGCGACATCAAGCCCGCCAACATCCTCGTGACAGCCCACATGCACGCCAAGGTGGCCGATTTCGGGCTGCTGAAGCTGCTCACTCACGGCGATGCTCATGCCACCAGAGTGGAGGGAACACCCGGCTATGTGGATCCTGATTACAACCGCACTGGTGTCATCACGGCCAAGAGCGATGTCTTCAGGTAAGTGTGTATCGCGCTCTGCCAACTCACAAGATACTGGAACACTGATGCATATGACACGTCTGAAATGTTGCAACTCACAGGATACTTGCATGAAGGATGGGCCAAAACGTTGCTAATCCACAAACAAGACTGTTGCTGGTCGTTATTCTCCCCAGCCGTTTCCATGCCCCCCTGTGCGCCTACTTGCAGCTTCGGCATTGTGCTTCTGGAGTTGCTGAGTGGAAAGCCACCCTCTTATCATGGATACTCTATCAAGACTTGGGTATGCCCATGCTAGATTCAATCGTGGCACTACCCCTTGCACCCCCTTTCCTTCCTAGCATTCTATCTTGCAGCTTTTTTTCTCTGCACTGCACCATGCCGCCTTGCTCTTTTTCTTTTTACTGCACTACCACGCGTCTTTCACATCTACTATGCTCCGGTGCGCCGGCTGTTCTCTCTGGTGCAGGCGCAGCAGAGGGTGGATGCATATGAGCTGGACGAGCTCAAGGACAGCAAGATGGAGGCCAGTGACGAGGCTGTGGTGGACTTTGCTGACCTGGCGCTGGACTGCACGAAGGCGCCAGGCACACGCCGTCCTGACATGAAGGACGTGACATACCGCCTCCGTGCCCTCATTGAAAAGCACTGCCCTGACAAGGAGGAAGAGTGGGAGTGCAGTAGAGAAGAGAGTGCATGCACCGGAGGGGAGTCGTGTGCCACGATCTGTTCTGCTGGCGGGAGCTCAATGCGGAGCTCAATGCGGAGCTCAATGCGGAGCTCAATGCGGAGCTCGGATTCCGATCGTGTCAAGAGTTGGCTGCCCCTGAGGTTCTTGTGGGGTTACTGAGAGATCACTGTAGCTTAGATATGTTGTAGTGGGTTGCAACTTAGGGGGTTCACCAAATCTTTCGACATTCTCCTTGTACCCCCCCTTCTCCGCCTTAGCAATCATTCTCACTTTCTACGTAAGTTAGTTTTAAGAATCACCTGTATGCGCATACCCCAAGACAAGAATGGAATGTAGCCCTTCATATTTCATGACTGTACTTATGTTATCAGGATGATTTATCATGAATCTCCTGAATTTAGTATAGGTCTAGTGTGTTTGTCCTGAAAAAACAGCATGAGTGAATCACTTGTCCTGAAAAAACACCAGACATAACTGAATGTTTACAAGATATACGGCAGGGACGTCGCTAGTCAAAAAGGCTGTCTCAGAATCAGACACGAGTTCTAGCCTTAATCTGACCATCAGACGGATTTGTTAGCGCTGTCTGACCTTTCAGATGAAAGTACTTTCAATGGTCTATCGGTTCAGACAATGTTAAAATACTAGACAATACTAGCTAACGTTAGTGCGTTAGAACTTAAACCTACTCAGTCTCGCTATCAGATTCACTGGAACTAACAGAGCAAGAATCCTCGTTATGATCATCCTCTGATGCTACGACTACTTGACGCTTCTTCCTCCTCCACGCGGGGATGAGTGCCTCCTCGGCGGCTACATTTTCTCTCTCCCTCGCCGCTGCCGCCTCTGCTTCACGCGCAGCTCTTGAGGCTGCGGCTGCTGCTGCTTTCGATGCCGCGGCTGCTGCTGCTTGAGCCGCCACCTTTGCACGCTTAGCTCGCTTCACAGAGCGCCCTGCCTGTGCCATCATGACCTCCTTAGCTGGCCGGCGCTTCTTGCTCGCGTGCTACACCGACATGATCCCCTGCGGCTCCAGCTCGTAATTAAGCAACGACACCGTCATCAGCTCCCCGAGAGTTGCATCGCAGAGGTTGCCGCGAATCCAACTCTTGATGACGTTCTGCCGGCTAAACCCCCGCTCGCACTCAACAGTGCTGAGCGGGAGCACGGCCACAGCCATTCACAGCTTGACGAGGTTCGGGTAGGCTGCGGTCCAATCGTCGCTCGAAAGCATGTGCTTCAAGCTGTCATGGAAGGAGAGGTCCTCATGGTGGGCAGCGATGATGCTGGTGAAACTCCACAACTCCTTCTTAGCCTTGCCCCAGTGGATGCCTGTTGATCCAAAATATAGGGAGGAGGCAGACACAAAGGAGGCATATTAGACGTGGTTTAACGTAGTTTAGTGTCAACAATACCGGGTGGCACGTCTTTGACTCACCCGGAAGTGTGTCGTAATCACCCGGCTTTTTCTTGACAGATCTCTCAGAGACTCAAGCCACTGAGGAAACCTGCTTTCGCGTTTCGCCCGAGAGCTAGGATAAGCGCTCTGACGGAATAGCCGAGCGCCTTTTAGGGCCGAGAGGTCCTGCATCCGCTCGGTGAGGTTGGAGACGACTTCTGTGGCAAAGTCTGTGGCGAGTTTGATGCACGCCTGCAGGTCCGGTTCGCTGGTCTGCCCCTTCAGGTGCTTCTCGTGCAGCACATACTTGTGGGTGGTGGGCGTTCCGTCAGCACATACTTCGCGCTTCTTTACGTTAGCATGAGCGTGCAGGAACTTTGCCAGTCTGCCGCTGTTGTCTCCGAAAGTCTCCTTGTAGTCGATGTAACGGCCATTGAGGGTGTTCACAGCGTGCTGAAGAGCCGGTTGTACGATCGTCACGTCAACCTGTTTTTTGGGTGAGACAAATAACAACAACTGCAAGGATCAACCTGTCTTAAGCGTGGGATGAATAACAACACAAGAACCGTTCAGAAATCCTTACCTGACGCCGCTGAAACTTCAAGTTGAGGGTGTTCAGCTCCTTCAACACATCCGCAAGGAAGTATAGAAGAAACTGAAACTTGAAGCTAGTGACGATGTCGTACGTTTTCTTCTCGTACTCGTACAGGAGCAAGACCGCTGCTGGGAGCACCTCCGCGAATCGTTCAATGGCGTCTCCACAGGGAGAGCCAACGGACACTGTGAATTCCCTGCAACTTGAGGTTGGTTTCTGATACCACCTCTTGCAGCTGCATGAATCGTGCGTGCTTCGGGCCTGATCGGCCGAGGAGATCTGCGACATGACGTACAACCTTGTCGATGATCCCGAAGTCCGGAAAAGCTTTCGCTACATCCTTCGCGGCTAAAGCCTCTCTGCCAATAAAACACAGCATAGTCAGAACATCATATGGCAACTAAAATTCAATGAAGATGGGTTTTGTAAATCAACGCATACATGTGCGCAATACAATGACATGAGACCAAGTGTGGTACACGTGTACGCAGCCGCGCCACCAAACCGGTTTTACCGCCCGTCATCACGGTGGCGCCGTCGGTGGAAATGCCAGAAAACCGCATGAGATCCACTCCATTCCCTTCAAGGTGAGTCAGCAGGACCGCCATGAGGGACGCCGAGTCACACTTGTCGACGGACAAGTTGGCGAAGAACTCTGTGACGACAACCCCGTGCTTGAGAAACGTGAGGTACACGATGAGATGTTTCCCGCGCCGCCTGTCAGTGCTTTCATCAAGCTGAATCCCAAGGAACGGATTCTCACGGATGTGTCGCAGTTGCTGCGCCTTCAGGTAGAAGACCATCGTCTCCATGAGCTGCTTGATACCGTACCTGCCAAACCATCATGCAGTGCGTATTAGTAAAAGGCCAAACATACTTATGAATCGGACGCTAAAACACTACTTACTTGCTCATGTACGTGCCGTGATCCTTCAGTGAAAGATGCAGCGTCCCCATATCCGCCGTGAACTGAACGAGGGAAACAAAGAGCGGAGCTTCAGATTTGCAAATGAAGTGCGCGATTAACAGCAACTTGAAGAGGCGGTCAGACTCAGGATCGTCTTTCGCAAACTCTGCAATCGACGGCTGCTTCGGTTTCTTCCCCTCGCGTAGCTCCGTCCTCTCGAGCGCTGTTTCGTGCTTGATGCTGTGCTGGTGCTTCCGCATAGTCTGCTTCTGGATGTCAATCCCGCCTTCGCCATTCCTCTCGTACTTGTAGTCGGGGTCGCCGTAGGCAATGCAAACCGTACACTTCATGCACGGGCGTCCCTCGCTGGTCTCTGAAATAATTAGCCACGGAAAGTACCGTGACCACTGCTCCTTGGCCTTCAATTGGAGCTCTTCCACAGTCAGAGGGCTCTTCCCGTCGTCAATTGAAGGACCTGCACGCGTGTCACGTTTGTCCTCAGCATCCGGTGCAGGTGGCGCGGTAGTGGCATGCCGAACGAAAGACAGCTTCCGCTGCTTGTACTTCTTTGAGTCTGGAAAACGCGGAGGAAGGAATGGAGCACGAGTGTTTTTAGGGACATCAGCGGGCGATGTCAACGGAACCGAAGTGTTGCGAACGGGAGAGCATGCGACAACGCAAGATGGGATCGGCGAGGGCGGAGGGGAAGAGGCATTCAACGTGTCGTCGCTGTCGTTGACAGGTTCGAAGGGATATGGCGCCTCGGGGGTGACAGGAACCTCGACGCTTGCAGGTGCGGGGCAAGGTTTGGCCCTGACGCTTGGCCCAGTCAGGAAATCAAGGCCTGTACGCCTCTCGGTAGCGACGGAATTTACGGGAGAGGTAGTATTAGGAACCGTGGGTGGTGCTTCATGGCTCCCATCGGACGCCATGACGAGGCGAGAATGTTTACGGGGGAGTGCTCCCGGAGCTGAGGCTCCTACTAGTGTGGTGGCAAAGACTGCTAGAGAACTCAGCTGCGACGGGGGTGGAAGAAGCACATCCTTTCAGTCAGTCAGTCAGCAGGTAGGTAAGCCAGCGTAACTCCTGTGCAGCCATGGCTGTGGCATAGATCTCAGCCTCACAACTGGAGCTGAGAATAGAAGACGAGCGCGTAAACGACCAAGAAACAGAGCCAGAGCCAAGGCTGAAGGTGTAACCCTGTGACGACCGCTGAGTAGCCTGGTCGTCAAGCTAAGACGCGTCAGAGTGTCCAGTGAGGACAACGTCGCTCCGTCCTCCAAGCACGAGCCCCATGCCCGATGTACTGCATCAGTAGCGCAGTACCCTCTTCGCAGCATCCATGTGCACCTTTCGGTGCCGACCAAGAGCCACGTAGCGAGCCAGAAGGCCAAGAGGGTACGCGAGGTCAGGTCGAGTGCAGGTCATCAGGTACATGAGGCAGCCCACTAGACCACGTAAGGACCACTCGACTCTACGGACTCGTCCGAAGGTGGAGCTGAGAGCGAGTGACCTGTAGCAAGAGGAGTGGCCTGTGGAGAGGACCAGGTGAAGCCGAAGCGCTGAAGGACCTGCTGCACCATGTGTGACTGAGTCAGTGTGATGGTGCAGCGTGCTCTGTCCCGGGTGATCTGCAAGCCAAGGTAACTGCGCAGCTCACCCAGGTCAGTGCACGTGTGTCTCTTTTGCAGCTCCGACTTCACCAGGGCGAGAGCCTCAGTGTCAGCAGTGGCAAAAACCAAGTCATCGACGTACACGAGGATGTAGAACGGCGGCAGCGAAGTGTTGGTGCGCAGAAACAGCGACGGGTCAGCAGTCGAAGGAGCGAACCCAAGAGCCGCAAGAGTAGTCCTCAGTGTGTCGTGCCACTCACGAGGCGCCTGGCGGAGACCGTAGACTGGCCGCCGGAGGCTCCACTGGGTACCAGGAGGGAACGACCCAGTGAAGCCAGGTGGGCGGCGCAGCCAGATCTCCTCGTGCAGGCTGCCCTATAAGAAGGCTGTGCTGAAGTCGAGAGAGTGAAGCTCGTAGTCACGCTGAGCGGCAACGTGCAGCAGCATCCGAAGAGTGGTCATCTTCGGGGTAGGGGAGAAGGTCTGGAAGAAGTCAACTCCCTCGCGCTGACTGAAGCCTCTGGCAACGTAACGAGCCTTGAAGACAGGCGGAGAACCCGGCGGCCGCTTCACCCTGAAAATCCACATGCCATCGACGATGTTCGCCCCAGGAGGGGGAACCTCATCGACGTAAGTGCCTGTAGA